AGCTGTCTCCTCATAAGTTCACTTAAATAAAGTGTCCATGCAAAATTTATGCAAGGTTTTCAAGATAAGCCTTCGTTGGTATGTATTGAGCATGTAACATCTACAGTATATCATACTGTTAAATATTGACACTTTAAATCAAATACGTACAATTTAATCAAATGGGTTCAAGGGCATCCTATGCATATGATGTTTCAATAAATCTTGACATCATAAATTTAATACGTTTGTGTGTAGGTGTAGGTGTGTTTGCGTTTCGTGTACGTGAGTACGTGAGTGAGTGTGTGCTTGTGCTGGAGATACTCAGTTCTTTACGAGCGTGTGTGCATATTTGGGTGAGTGATAATTGCTCAACTATCGAAGAAATTTGAGAAGCATTGTGATTGCGGGCCTTATAGTGTGTCATGGAATAAAAAGAATGTTTAATATGCATCTTATTTGGACCAATTATTTACATTTGGATTTATTTAAACCAACTTGTTAAAACCTGGATATATTTCTTTCTCAAAAGCTTTCCATCCATGTTAGGCAATAGTATTTGTACAATCAAATCAACTTCAGTTTTAGTTATGGATTCTTCATTTTTGTTGTTGTTATTTCCCTAAGAAAAAAAGATATATAAAATACTGATATTTTGGGGGTTTCTCATATCAATAGTTTATTAGCAGTAAATGCACAATATCCACACATAATTCAAGAACAAAATAACAAAAGAAAGTTTGGGATATTTCAAGAACGAAAAGTAGGTACCAACATAAAAGACAACACGAGAAAAACATGTGCAGAATACAGGTAAGTTCAATTAATCTTCAATCTTTCTGTTTCATGCTAACCTGTTCTAAGCAACAATTAGATACTAACTATGTGTTGTGTATTTGTGTTTATATAATGTAGACTCACAACTAACATGTGTGTTCCAACATGGCGTCAAACTCGAACTACTTTTATTTCCAAGTATGCATACGCAGGGCGTTACTAATAACTTGAAAGGAACCGAATAGCGATTCCGGAATTATAGATAGGAAATATATAACACTGTGGGAAAGTTATTTCAAAATATAGTTTGTCACTGAATATCTATTGCAATTGACCATACAAAGGTCAAAGGTGTAAAGTTTAAGTTTAACACAAATTCATACACACTGATGATTTTATCCTTATCAATTTCATTGGCAAATGAAAAAGGAAAATGGAATAGTTTTATTGGTTCATACCTGAGTAGAAAAATATTATACTTTCCAGTAAAAATGCTGGCTAATTAATTGAATTTAACTTCGGACACTTCAAGCTGGCTCATGAGTAGCAAATCAACCCTAGCAATTAAATTTCCAAGACAAGAAAGTTATGTGGAACGACAACACAATTCTGGCAAACATCACGATGGATAACAAATGTGGTTTCATATCTTATCATTGTTCTTCGCTATTTCAAAGGGCATCTCGCTTCCAACCTCAATGACAAATGCCACGACTTAAATTTCACTATTGTAACTTCCATGTACACAATACACAAATCCAGCTTACCCTATTTTACAGCGTTAATACTTGATGTGTTATATATGCTAACAAAACAATCATTCGTAAGTGTTTATACATGCATAAAACAACTTAGTGAAACCTACATTTGGAAATCAAATTCACCAGAAAACTGGTCTTAATGAGTAACATTTTATTTACACCTGGTCCCATATCTAGGATCCGGCCAATGGAATTGCAAGATAGTTTCAATAATCACAATTAGGGCTGTTCACCATCAGGAGAAAAGACCAATCATATTTGTAATGTTTTTTTAATTTTCTTCCTATTCTACACACAATTTTATCCCAACAATTTCTTCTGAATTGAAAAAGATTTATTAATAATCTTTTGACATGTTATATGACATAGCGTAAAGGTGTCATTGCAACAATTTCAAATGTTCAAATTTATCATTTTCAAGTTCTATTTGTAGTATATGGAGAATGATCTCCCGATGAATTGATGTCTTAAGTTTTTCTGTCACATTTTCCATTAACATCATACACCATTTTCATTTTCATTTTGGTCTTTTTATACTTCCAAAAATATATTAAAACCGATTTTTCTCCAATTTCTATTATGCTTATTTCAGTTTCACAATGGAATGAAGTTTTCCCCAGATATTCTGTCATTATGTTTTAAGATTTTTGACTTCATTAAATTCCAAAATGGCCGCCATGTCGTCATATCCGCTTTAATCTTAATTGCAATAACTCATTAATGGCTTAAGAAATATCTCAGGATTTTTTTGTGTGTGTCAAAGTTCAACTTCCGGTTTTCGGTAGAGGATGAGTTCAAAAATTCTACGAGGTCTAGAGTCTTGATATTTGATATTTGATATGTAAACTGCTTAGGTGCTTGACTATCAAGTTTGAAAAAATTGTTGACCTTGATCAACGATCAAGGACACGAAGATCAAATGATTAAATGATATAATTGTAAATATGAATTATGATTGTGAACAATAATTTTAATCACAATACACAATATAAATATGTCATATTGATATGCATGAAGTAATCGTAGTGATACTTTTAATTAAAAAGGCAGCGAATTTTTTTACAGCATTTAAAATATATTGAAAATTGTCAACTTGCCTAAATATAGTTACGATGGTAGTCTATATTTTATGCTTCTTTTAAAGCATTCCATATATATATTCTGTCTACAGAATCATTCTTAATAGATTTGATTATCAATGTTTATTATGGGAAATACCGATACATTTTCTACGTTTGTATCATTACAAAATACTTGATTATATTACGCATGTTTTAAATTATGCGTAGCAGTAATAACTAAATAAACACTCATAACTAATAAATAATATGTATTCTTCAAAAGTAATCTATCCTCTGAAGAACTACTTAAGCTTAAGATTATGATATTGACAAAGATATACAGATATATAAAAAAAAACAATTAAAATAATCTTAATAGTAAAAGTAATTTACACTTGATTATTATTTTATTTTGTCTTTTACCCATTCATTAAACAAATACGAACGAATATATACATTATTTTATGTCTTTAACTCTAAACAAATTAAGCAAGAAAAGATATCTTTGTCAGACTCCCCATACAAAAATGTTATTTTAGCACATTTGATTTTGTGACCTTGAACGAAGGTCACGGTCACCAACGTTAACAAAAATTATATATATTCACATGAACATATCAAGACCCAAGACCCTTTGGTTATGAAGAAACACAAGTTAAAGTAATGAAATGAAATCTGAAACTAACAGTTCCTGATTTGAGCTAACTAAACCTTTTTGTATTAATCTTGTTTTGAAATTCCAAATGGAGGCCGACGCTAATGTTAAATCGCCATAGGCGTTTACCCTACCTTTCTTCAATCCACAAAATTTGGAAAATTGTTCTATATATTCATTTTGAGTTCAGATATGACTTGGAAGACACCAATGAGCAAATGTCTCTTCTTCTTCTTCTTCTTCTTCTTCTTCTTCTTCTTCTTCTTCTAGTTCTTCTTCTTCTTCTGCCAAGATGTTTTATGTCCTAATCTTTTGATTTGTAGCAGTTATGTTTAAAGTATTTCATATAAATTATAGGTCAGGATTGAACAGTCGATGGGGAATACCATCCCGATGAACTTGATTTTTCTGTAACGTTTACCGTTAACATACTACATCAGAGGCTCTCATAATTGAAAAATTCTTAGACTCGTTTCATAAATCGCATATGAAATGGAGACTCATGTAAGATCCTGTATTTATGAACCTGCCTGAAGGTGAATGCCTATATCAATCTTAATTAAATACGGCGTTAATGATCTCTGTAGCCCTTCCCGTATGTAGAACCTTTCAGGGGTTCTAGATCCCAGGGAGCTCTATATTCGATATTTGTCAAAAATTAGATTTTATGTTCATGAACCTGGTTCAGGGTGAATGCCTAGTTCATTCTGAATAAATTCGATGTAAATGATCTCTGTGGTTTATTGCCCTGTTTATATTTTGGATAACGAATACCTTTCTACTTTTACATTCTATCTTTGCTGGAATTTAAGGGATGCTAGAAACATTATTGCACATGTTTATGAAAGGGTTAGGTGTTATGTAGAACGTATCAGTGATCATATGTGCGGAGATTTTAGTTTTCATGTACCTGTTCTGCATTCGGAAGTTAAGAGTTTCTCTGCTATTTATACTCCACATATGAATATTGATGTGAATATTTGGGAGAGAAATCAGATATATTTGTGTAATTTGTAGGTTTTAATCGTGTAGTGTTCAGCAAGTTGTTTATTATTTATAGTTGACTCAGATTTCTAGACGTTGGAGATTTTAAGAGATGTGAGTTTGAGTATCATAAGTTTTAGATGTGAGTTTGATATTCTCGCACAATTATTAAATGTGAGTGATCCTTATAGGATATATCCGCAGTGGTATGATTTATAGATTCCCGAGATAGTTAGGCAGTGGACTTCATTTATTTTATTTGTCTATTTAATAAAGGGCCATATTTGTACCTATATTTCTGTATTATAGTTGTCTCTTAAATAAGTTGATTGATTTTTAACCCATGTGCTTGGTTGGTGCAATTATGTCGGCTTTGAGAAGTTACGAGGTTATATTACTCAGAGGTTACGTTGTTATATTACTGTACGTACATGAGATGTTGTTACACCTGCTCATGTACTTGTAATGAGACTGTTTATTTAAATATATGAATAAAGAATGGTTATTACAAACTATTACGAGCGTTTACGACTGCTGTGTCACAAGTACCCAACCATTATATTGTGATGGTAAGCACGCTCCCACAGGCTATTTCAAAATTGAGGTTGGACACAGAGTCTTGACTACTTGTCCGACTTGTATATTATACGCATCAACTGTGGATTGTCCTATTTTCCTTCCCACAAACAAATGATAAAACAAAACTCTACCAAATTCATAATCAAAATTTTGTTTTTAATATGCAACACTTCATCGTAAATTAAACAAATATGCTGCTTTGCTGTCAATCATTGGTATACAATCTATGTATAATTAGACAGATTCACTTCAACTTGGTACTTCTTTACACGTCAGCTGTAGAGCAGGATTCTTGTTTGGTTTCATCGTGGTAGACACAGCACCAGATGTTGTTCCACTTTCACACATTCGCCTAACTTCGTCAGCTGGTTGACTCCTGACGAAGACACCAAATCTCTCTCCATACATATCGCTTGGGTCAGCCATAAACAGAAAACTGTTTCCGAGACCGGTTTGGTTTACTTGAACGGCTCTGGAACTAAATGAATGTTTTTGGCTCAAATAAAAGACCCATATATGCTATCAACAGCAATACAACATATCACCTATATTTGGTGAGATAATCAATGTTTCAAAGAAAAATTATCGCCGCATATATGAATAGCTGTGAGCATTCCTTTCGAAACTTCAAGCTCACGATAATAGGTTGCTTGAACTAAATTCCCGAAAATTCATATTTGCGTGATAAGGTACAGCAGTAATTTGCAATTTTTATAGAGTTGAAGTTGGTATAAAACGTTTATCTAATTTGGATAATTTTCAAATTGTTTACAAATCCATTAAGAAACAGTCCATCTATCTCAACCAGGATATTGCCTGGTATATCACGAAAGCCATTTATTACGCATGAGAGAAAGCATGACGTCATAATGCCACTGTATTTCAAACATGACGTTGCAAATATGTGACATGATTTTGCATCTAAGAAAAAGGTTTATTATATACCTCATATGTACGATGGCCGATATCAGCCATATAAAAATACATTTAAACAATTCAATTTTGTCAGATGTTTCTTGACAATATATTGACAACAACTACAAAAGATGGATTTTGTGAAGTATGTGTGATTTTTCTGTTTAGTTCTTGTTTGCTTTCTGTTATTTTTGACAACGCAGTATTGCTGCGTATAAGCCTTGACACTTTTCGAGCTTTGCACAAGTAATAAACATAATCATTCCTCTTGGTAATGTTAGTCTGTATGATGGTCCCCTCCCGCCTTCCCTTTGACCTTCCATAATGTCACCTTTTCAAAATATATATGATATATATTCTAGCTGTGGTTCGTGTCCCATTTGGTTGTAGTCAATCTTTGAATTCTAATAGAAGCCTAGTGTTAACAAGATGAATGTTAATTACGTGTGCAAAGCATGAAAAGTGTCAAGGCTTATACGCGCAAGACAGTGTTGCTAAAACCCCCAGAAACAAAGCAGAATTTGACAAAACAATTGTCACATACTTGGCAAAACCCAACAGCTTTTGTAGTTGCTGACAACATATTGTCAACAAACCTCTAACAAAATTAAATTGCTTAAGTGTATTTTGACATGGCTGATATAGTTCATCGTACATATGACAGAAAAAGAATTATTATGTATACAGACACTGTGTAAAACATCACAATAGACAGGTTTTTACAAATATGCCTACATCGATGCAGTACTTACTCAACTGTGCACCTCGCTCCTTCGTCGCTCGCCACGTAGATGTACACCAATGTCGGTACATTCTGTGTTTTCGTTGCCCCGTCCACAACTAGCCCGGCACATCGGAACTCAATACAGGCCGCTTTTGAGTACCGGCGATCTGTGGACTCGTCCCAGTAGGGAGATGTAAAGTAAGTTCCATACTCATCACGTTGCGAGGGGTCATCCTGAATGAAGCTCTTGGTGATTATATCAAAACTGTGAATGTTCGACTGAGGGAAAAAATCAAACTCAAATTAAGTCAAGCAATCATATTGGCACATTTTGAAAGTGTTATTTACAGCAGAATATGCTCCAATTTAAAAGAATGACTCAATGAAACACTTTAATATAGCTTAAACATCAATTGACGATTTTTTTTTTTAATGATATCTTACTTTAATGTTGATTTTTATGAAACACGATTTGTGAAGGGGATCGCTGACTGGTCGTGGGTACCAGGCCTGCCTCTTGTTATGTATATTCAATGATCCTAGTGCTGGTTCAAGTCTGTTTTCTTTTTTGATTGGTGCGAATTGGAAATATCCTCCTGAGGCGGAAGATATGCAGACTTGAAGCTGTTTATAATCATACACAGGACTGTACGTTTTGTCACTGCTTCGCTGTTCACCTACGTAAGGATCGACCGATATGAACTCTACCTGTGTTAGGTTGTGTATGTTCTTGAACATGTAGGTATTCGGTAGACCGTGTTTGTCCGTAGCGTACATTTGCGGTTGATCTGGTATGTAAAGAAACACTTTTGAATTGCAGAATATTCCGACACAAGCAATGCCATGGTCATTTGTAGTTGCATCACTTTTGACTTTGAAACGAGGTCCCGATAATTCTTGAGTAACTGCCCTCACGGTAACACCTCTCAAGGGATTTAAAAGTTTGAAGCCATTGTATACACGAACCCTCACGAAACATGCGCCGTCTTTTATTGCATTTGGGTCTCTACTGATGATAGTTTCATATCGGTACTGAACTGGTTTATCAGCATTTATTTGGTAACTGCGTCTAACCTTTCTTGAGGTGACTTTAGTATAGGTTAATATTAGGTCAGGTATATTATTTGGGTCAATAATTCCCTCAATAGTAGTAGCCAACAACTTACGCCTGCCTTGACTTTGAACATATTTAAATTTCCCTTCTTCAACCCAACTTCCTGTATTTGGGTCTAGGTGCCACATCGACAAATCCGGGTTCCCATTCTTGTCGTTTGAGATATTAAACAAGCTTGCATCCATTTGCGTTGTTATTGGTCCCGACAGAAAAAGTCCCTTTCCGGTTTTGTCCTCAAAATGAAATTGAAACATTCCAAATGTCTCTAGAGGCACGGGATTCCCCTGTTCGTCTGAAGAGGTAAACTCGCCGTCTGAGGATTGAAGGTCCTCCATTTTTCTTGGGTCCATAACGCCAACGAATACATTCGCTTCACCTTCAAATTTGTTACCGTCTTCATCTAACATAGCGTCTTGTGGAATGGAAACAGTCGAAATTGGAACGGCTCCATCTAAGTTATTAATAGGGATACTCATTCCCATTCTGGTGTTGAACGTTGAAGGGATAGGGCGTAGCTGTAAAACAACTTTGACGTCCATTGTGCCCCCTGGTGTGATTTCAAGAGGCTTTATTGCGTCTAAAAATTCATTGTGTATATCTTCTTGAAATGAGAGTGTTACTCTCTTTTTTTCAAATGGAACTGTGAAGGTAAACATTCCACCAGAACTAGTGTATGTGGTATCAGCACCGTCGACGTAGACTTTTCCTCGCGCAAAAGGCACCTGACTTCCGTTTCTGATTCCAAAGGCTATCCCCGTTATCCTGGAAACAACTGTCCCAATACTACAACCACATGCTTCAATCTTATTTAATGAATACGTAAAGTCTGGGCATGTAACCTCGATTATATCAACTGTTTCGACATTGCAGCATTTTGACGGCCACCATTCGTCACATGTCCCGTTATCAATGTCTGTCGATGTGATGCACGGTAGTTGAGCGCATTCTCCGATATCTACTTCATTTTCCTTGGCTCCGTTGACTAACACATAACATCCAGCGGGTAACCTCTCTTTTTTTGGTACTGGATAACGATTACAAGTGTCCTTTGACATATCTGAATAAGTAAATAAAAACAATTAACAATATATCGTGTTTCATCATTTGTTACATGCATATCACAACATGTATAATATTTAGTATAATATAGATAATTACAAGGAAGTTTGTTATACTTTATATATGTTGAAATGATACAGAGCAAAAACAGAGGTGTGAGATCAATGTGAAGCACATGTTCTTGCTTAATCTTTTCAGTAGTTCTTATTCTTCTTCGGTTGATTGAGGGTTATTTGGCGATACTTTTTATGTTTAAATTCTCATATTGACTAAAATTATCAACTAGTATGCATTGTAAGGAAAAGAATGCAATCTGTTTGAAGACTTAATTAATGTTTGATAATTTAAACATAAATGTTAATCGATTAGTGCAGCAATAACAGTTCAAATAATTGTAAAGATTCTTAAGAAATGAAAACACAATAAATAGTATAAATTATAATTTCCAGTCTTCATCTTAAAATAAATTTGAAAAAAGTCATATGTTCAGTACGAAACATTAAGAGATATGGAAGAAAAACTGAAATGAAAGATATGTATAAAATGGAACTTAAAAAAAAGTGCAAATAGAAAATGACATGAAGATCTTAGAAAATCAAAACACAATGAGTCTATGAGAATAGGAATACCTTTTACGGTTATTTGAACGGTTTCCGATTTGACGATTCCTGCAGTTGACTCTGCGACACATGTGTATTGCGCCTGGTCTGAGTTGGCTAAATTGGGAAAGGAAAGAGTTCCTTGGCTTAAGCTACTTGCTACTTGAACTCCATTCTTCAACCTATTTATTTTAAATATGAAATCAATAATGTAACAACATTAATAAACAAAGCAACAATTCCAAAAATAGGGGACATAATTCCAGCAGAGTCTTGCATCACTTGTAAAATGTACGTTAGCGTCGTGAATGGCATGTTGACATAATTTTATGTTTTACTTTGATGAGAACATGCAATATGCCATCGTTTAAACTTCAAAACTTCTAACAAGCAAATATATAAGATATACAAGGTATGAATGGACAATAATTGGATGTCATTTGCTTCATATACTGTTCGACCTCTGTAATCATTGTAAGGTTTTTATCATTACAAAGAGGTGTTTATAGGACTCCCTTCACGATAACCATATACTAACGTAAGTTATTTTCAAATTTTACTTCACCGCAATTATTATGGATAGAAAATACAAAACTAAACAATGTAACACCAACGAGAATAGAATACGTTAAATAAAATACAACATACAAAAGTGTGTCTGTCATAGCTTGACAAAGGGACCAGTCGGTCTTGAAACGTTGCGACACATCTATTACGTACATTGATTGTGGAGAAAGTAAAACTTTGATATTACATACTTCCATTTTGAAGAATCTTATTGAAGAAATATACAAAAGTAAATATATGTTTTGGTTTAAATTGTGCTTGTATTTCGTATCAGACAAACAATAATGAAACATCTTCAATAAGAATGAAACATGATGATTACCACGAGTACGTTATCTTCGACGGATACCCTTCCGCTTCGCAGCACAAAGTGGCACTCGTTCCAACAAATCTATATTTATTCGATGGCTGTTTTGTGATCCGCGGTTTCTCTGTAGAAAAAAAAATATGACTGGCATGTATATAAAACAACAGATTTTAGTTTGTTTCTACAAATCCAACGGACTTTTTTCACTTTTATTTAATCCTTTCGAATATTTAATTAGTTTTAGTCCCACTTCACAGCAAAATGTAGCATCCAGGTTTTTCCCCATTTAAACGCTTAAATGTATATTAATACTTTATTTTTCATTTTTTAATAAGCATATATATTGTAATATTGTTGTCTTACCATATTTCCTTAAGACGCCGTTAGCTTTATGGAAGGTAACATTCACCGAAACGGGAAGTGTTTCGTTTTGCATGAAACCTTCTTTCCTGAACAGCAGTTTAGTGGCAGAGGCACATAGACTTTGTACCCTATACTCTCCCCAGTAATTGGTTGTAGCCACAGGTTCCCATTCCTTGTAGGAGAAGTACACATTCACGCCATGAAGGGGTATGTTGTTGGTGTCACGAACTGTCCCGAACAAAACTTCTTGTTGACAAAGACACACGTCACAGTCTTTCGAAAGTGTTCCACCAGTGGGACAGACTCTACCACAATCTATAATTTAAGTAAAATGAGTTTCAGTACATTAATTTTTTGTTTATATCGTTTGGGCAGAAATCATATATATAACGTTTTGATTATATGTGAGAAAGAACATCAATTTAGAATCTATATGTCGAATCACAGGTATCTGTCTCGACTTAAAGTGGAGGGGTGGTATACTATAACCCAATATACTCAACATCTCACTATCAATATTATTCTCAAAGTCATGAAACAAGTGTTCCTAGCTCATTTTAAAGAATAAATAATTTCCTTTACGATGGTGTATGCATTGTACATAATTATTAGTTCAATGTTTTGACATATTTATGCTTGAAACCAAAATCAACTTAATCCAGATATGTCATTCTGAGAATTTTCGAACTTTCAGTATATTATTTGTATAGTATAACACCGCCCCCAACGTTAACCCCCACCTTTTTTTAATTCAATGCAGATTTCTGTGGCTAAATGAGCAATAAAAAAATACCTGGGCAATTCCATTTCGAGCATTCTCGAGTCTGAATATCTTTCCCAGGACAGACCTTTCCTCCAAAGAACGGGGGAGGGGCACCACATGTTCGCCTCCTTACTTGTGTTCCCCCTCCACAAGTTACTGAACAGTCAGACCACTTGTCCCAGTGTGTCCATTCACCGTCAATAGGGTCTGTCGTAATAATGTGTAAAACTGACATTAGCATTACTATCTACAATATATATTAAATGTATCAAGTTTGTTCTGAAGAATATGATTATATGATTACTTGAACAATGAAGTATTTAAAAAAATCCTTTCAAACACTTTAAAAGGTTTGTTGACGATTGCAAAAGCTAAGACAAAACAAAACTTGTTTTCATAAAAAAATTATGATCGAAGATAGTAAAAAAATCAAACAAAGTGTGTAGATCGCATTAAGTCTTAATGTTCAATTTAATTAGCTTACCCACCATTGAATATTGACCATTTGATTTTAAGAAACACTTTTGAAGGTTAGCCTTGATTTTTGCCCGGAACAAAATTAAAGGATAAGAATTTTGCCCACAAAACGGGTAAAACACTAACTTGAATGGTGTAAACATGCACGTCCAATCATACCCTCAAACGTGTGTGTACGATCAGTCACATCAGTATTCAACACTTTGATATGTATATAAACACCATATGTGGTGTTGTTATATGTGCATAGTTTTAGACAGACAAAACATTCCTTTCACTGGCATTGCGTGTGTTTTATAGGTTACATTGACTTCGACGTTACCTTACGCTTTTCTATTCTAAGATGTGTGATGTATGCAGTAACAAAGGAATCTACTCGTCCTACTCTTAAAAGATGCAAATATGTAAGAATATACATTATCAATTTTCGTTCTGATGAATAAGACTAGCTTACCTCTTTTTGGTGACGGCGTCGTACCTCCTCCCTCGTTCGATGCATCATCTAATGAACAGAAACGGTTCGGGTTTTTGTTTTGTTTTACTTTTTACTTAATTACAAGAAACTATTTTATCAATAACAATGAATAGTGTTACCATGGAGAAAATACTTTTTTTTTCAAAATTTGCATAACAGAGACAAATGCAGATGTAGACTATACATTACAGCAGCTTTTGAACAAGCCTAATTATGATAAATTTGTTCCTCGAACGTTATAGAAAAATCTATTCCAGTGATCGTTATTTGTTCTGCCATAAATTTAAATAAAACATTTTCAAACGTCAAAGGCAATAAACCTCAATTTTTCAAAACAAATTAACTATGTTTTAAATGATTTCACTAATAATTTTCCTATCTACACAAATCAAGACCAGAAAATAAATAACGTCGAATACTTTGAAATGATAAGTCTTAAGTTAGAATCAATATCATGGGGAAATAGTTGGAACAACACATCGTTTCACTATGACAGTTATTCAGCTTCAGTATTTTCTGATAGACCGATAAAACACAATGGTTGAACAAATAAAGGAACCAAACCGATTGCATCCAATTAAAGAGACATAGTGTACAAAGCAAAAAAAAAGATTGAAAAAATGATAAATAGTCTACAGGGGATGCATTCTATTCAAACAAAATTCAAATAAACTACATGATGACGTTAAAGGAGACGTATTACAGGTTAATTCCATTATAAAAAAGGCGGGAATGGGTTTTTTTCTGTAAAGAACTCATAGAAAAAGTGATTAAACAAAACAATAATTTTAAAGTAAACAAAACGCTAACGTGGGAACCCTTTTATTTCTTACAATGTGTTCATGTTGTAATATTAAAATGTTGTATATTATTATTATTTGTTATAATGGAATAATAACATACATATAGTCAATCTTTTTAAATATTTCGACTGGACATCTTATCAGTAATTTCAAATGTAAAGCATTCAAGGCATTGACACCTTTACAGTAATTGAGCTTAAAATTGTGCGTATGTATTTTAATTTGACGAGTATGGTTCATCGCTGAATAAACTATAAAGTATTAATGTGAAAAATAAGAACACTAAAATTGTAAAATAATTTAAATTATATATATTTAGATGATTAACCAATACAGTCATGTAGCACTTGGCAAATATACCATTTAACTATATTGAGTTTTTGTAAACAAAATAATATACTTCTAGTTTAAGCATTGATTTAATTGTTATTAAATATTGTAATATCTTTACTTGAAATTTAACACATTCTAATGGAATAGAGTATACTTAAACTAACAGTATTTGATAATGATCATTAACGTTGTTATTTAGAGTAAGTGACTGATATTTCTAATAAACTAAAAAGAAAACTATCTCTTAAAAGGTTATTACAACTATTTATTCGTATTTACAAACTTAATAAATATCAACACGAACCTTTATTGAGGACGGCGACGCCTACCCCAACACCGACAGCTGCAATAACTCCGACGGCAATAACTGATCCGACGATCAGCACCAACTTCTTGGTGTTGAATCCCCCCTTTACCACCGTTGTTGTGGAAACGCTAGGTTCATCGCTGAACCCTTTTACAGCATACGGTGATTTCTCCATTCTAGAGTGGGTGAATATGATAAGATTAAAATGTTCTTATATACTTATATAGAAAAGTGTCCATGCGCATAGGCAAATTGTAGATTATTGGTTACTGATTATTTACATATATACTTTTCCAAGAATGCTCGCGCACATTATTGATTGTCGATTTAAACTAACCTGGCCGCTTTATCTAACCAAATGCCGTCCCAAATACCATAATGAAGCTTATTCCTATCTCTGTTTATCTCCCTTGAATCAATCGAATCCTTTGATGACTAACCCATTCCTCGCATTTTTATTGATGTATTCACATACATGTACTAGTGCATATTGAAGAAACAAAATTATTCTAATAATTTTCATATAAATTTGTATTGCTTGTTCGCCATAACCCTAGGAGCAGCATATCGTGAGAATATCTAATGGCGGATATATTTGTGAATGTGACGTGATTTTCTTTTAAATGTTTTGTATCCTAGTGCGTAATTTTAGCTATTGCGCACTCTTTATATCTGAGGAGAACATGTTCTGCTATTTGTAGATTTTTGGTTTAGTTAAATAAGGGGTTTTGCTGACATGATGTATTTATTATGCACCATTTATGATTAACATTCTGGTTATAGTAATGTATCAACTAATGTTGACATATTTGATACTAGTAGACTAATTGTAGGTACATATGCTGGTCCCTGAAGATTTAAATGTTTTGCTAGTTTGTCTTTCGTGTCTTTGATTTCAGGTTCAGGAGGTATATACTTTCAAAATGGTCATTTCATTTCTTGATTGTTAGGACAGTGCATCGTCTAATTAACTGAATGTGAAAGTGAAGGACTTGGCAAAGTGTTTGCTTCCAGTCCTGATAAGTTTTTCAATAGATTCTGTCTCATATGAAAACAAACACAACAGCGGCCAGAAAAGGGACACAATTTGTTGCAATAGGGATAGTTATAACTCAACAGAAATGTTTTGATTGGATGTACATGCATGGAACACGTGTATGGCGAAGGGGCGGGGCTATGCGTGGTTGACAGGTGTGTAGTGATAAGGGTAGAGCTAACTGTATGCATGTAGTCGCAAGTGCTATTAGTGCGATACAGGTGAGAATAGACCAAGGGGTCCTGGTTCTCGGCATTCGAGCCTTGTAATACAGTACGACAACACGCATTTTATCCCACCCCTCCCTACACATGCCCAGTTCGGGTTAATGTTAATTACAGATCTTATTCATGGAGAGAACATTCTGATGGATCCCCGTCATTTTGCGAAGGACTAAGGATGCTATCAGGAAACCACGGAGAGAAGTGAGGTGAGGCTGGGTCCGTTTTCACAGAAGGAACTTAGAAGATCTATCGATTTCTTTGTAACACATATGCATATACTCGAATAAATGGTGTTGCTCACTACAGTGTTGGTGTTTTCATGATAAACATGAAGGTCGTATTAGAACATAAATAATTTATATTGTCAACCAGGAACTTAATTGTTTAAAGTCCGAACTTTGTCAAAAAAAAAAAAAGATTTATTATGTTTTCAGAAAAAAAATATAAATATGCAAGAATAAACTGTAAGATCAGTCTTATCGCATATCCCGTACAAACATCATTGGCATGTCGTGTACAAACAAACGAGTGAAGTGACAATCAATAAAATCCAAGGTATTCAAACACAAAACAATGTTATCGCAAAAGGCGTCATTTTAAAGCATATATGTTGACCTGTTTCTTGGTATACCTTGTGAAGAATGAGGCTTATGAAAAAGAATTATATTAAACTTGAAAAAAAATGAACTGTTTTCTTGACCAACCTTATTAAGATGGTGAGTTCTATCACTCCCTGTATCATCCAGGCTCGAATGAATTATTGTTAAGTATTCAGATTTACATGGCGGGTATGGTCGTTGAAACAAAAGACGTTTGCCGATACCCTTCTGGAACACTTGGTCTTATTCTACTTGTTCTTTATTCAGTGGTATTCTCTTTCGTTTGTTTTTATTTTACCGAATAAATTTGAGTTGGAATGACGGTTTTGTTCATACTTTGGTATTCTCTTGTTATTTTAACATTTTAGACGCTAATGAAATAATTTAATAATAGATCTGACATTTTGGATGAGCTAGCCTAAATATCAAAAAACATGTTATCAGATTCAAAGAAAAATTATAAAAAAAAATCGTGTGCATAGGCCGTGTATGTATATTACGATATAACCATTGCCTTTTCATCGCTTATTAGATACATATAAAATAACCACGTGCACTCCAGTGCAAACAGTTTGACATTAATGTAAGAAATTCTGGAGTTGATGATAAACGGTTTTCGCAAAATTTGCATGCAATAACTAATACATTGCTGACAGGTAGATTACATCTGACAATTACATAGCAATTCACACATAGTTGACTGCCGAGGAAATAGACCAAGGTTAGTTTACATATCTAAGTTTGGTGTCTTAAAAGGATTTAGGAGATACATGGCATTTAAGTAGTGATGCAAGATACCAGAGAGTAAACATATGTAAAAAAAAACACGTTATATCACTCTACAATGACAGTATAAATAAAAAATACAGTTTGTCTTCGAATGCCAACTTTATTTAGATATTAGGAAATATTATCCGTTACATGATATCTGGGTGATCGTTTTAGCATTTTTAGATATTACCACATTCTCGAAATTAGTATGACAACTTGACAGTGTGAGGTACATGTACCAACTTAACAACTAGTACTACATTATCTGTCAGGCGTAATTATGCAAAAACTGTTTGTAATTAAGATACTGAATTGTATAATTATTCAATAAACATTAAAATAAGAACTTTCATTCCCGTTTTTCAAGATATTTAATGAATTTCAATGTAAAATGATAACCATCAAGGGAGTTTTAAGTGAACTGGAAAGAAAATTATGGGACCAATTCTAAAGTGAAGTACAAAACGAAAGACAGCTACTGTGTCAAAATCAACCCATTTCTGGTAAAGAAATATAGCAAAAGATATGGAGAATTAACCAAACTGCTACTATAAATACGCGGAAATATTGCCACGAGATGCTATTGAGAATGGTATAATTTCACGACACTGAACCAGCAGTCCCGAACGTGATTGTAATGTAGATAGTTGGTCTTTTGGTCTTTTTCACATGACAGGGGAGGTAAATTCCCTTTCAAGAACAAACAGTCTAACGAAGGTCTAAATGAAATTGCCATTATTTTTACACTTTTTAAAACTTTTTTCGCATGGAGAAAGTTTGTTGATTGTACAGGGTTTAACATCCTATACAATATGGTGATTTAATGCGTCCTGTATTATAACGCGGTACGTGTTCTATTCGTATTAATAGAATAGGGACAGATGAAAAAAAAGAAAATAATGCTTTTATATAATGGTTCAGAAAATGAATCGTCTGCAAACGGGGCATATCTTTTAACTATACATGAAATGTAAATAGTATCTTGATATAATCTGGATCATCCCATATGCATGACCGAGTATTAATCTTGAGGAATTTCTTTCCTAGAGAGTCTTCAAATTCCTCTATTATTGACAACTCGGATCCCAAAAGCTGTCCCTTTATGTACCGTCCAGCTTGGTGATACATCGAATTAACATGTATTATCTGATTGCTAGTCTGAATTAAAAGGGTGCAAATAATGGCGGTATATATGATATTCTCAGGTGATATACCTGCCCTAAATGTCAGCCTCTATACTCCAGATTTTAAGCTCACTTGCGCTATCTTCATCCCTTCAATGAAAATTGAAGAATGAAAATTGTGATAGCAAAATTTAAGGCACGCAGCTACCCATTTGATCGGTCTCAGATAAAATAACCTGACCAATCGCTAAGCTGATACATGTCCTTTGAAGATACAGAGGAGCGATGCCCGACTTCAAAGCCAGACAATTTTACCGTTACGCGACCGCGAGATTCTTTCGATGTACATCAAAGGATCAAACAAGTCTTCCCGTCTGATCCACATGATGGCGCTCACTGAGCCTTCTGTATTGTTGTGATATTCCAGGGGTACAGAGAGTGTAACCCCTGGAGTATCGAGGTGCCTAAATGTAAGTAATTACATTCATATGTTGGTGCGTTAATGTACATGTAGTAACAGTTAACGTACGTACACGTAGGACGAACTTTTTCCGTCATTAAAAAGAAAAGAAAGAGAGAGAGAAAGTTACACCATTCAATTAAAAGGCATTCCAGTTAGCACATTACACAGAAAATACACTGATCAGGCCACGTCCTTGGTTTTGACTACCGACTAAATACTTTACAAAGGATATTTAAGACGTTGATGGCAATAATAGCTATATTTTACAACGGATTTTACAATTAAATTGTAAATGAAAAAAACACAGTCGTAAACGGAGTTTTTTTGTGATGTCAAAGTAAGAAAACGTCGTGTTTCATTAATCCTGATCTCTGATTGGTCGGCTAGGTATAAAAATAATAAATATTTCACTGGTAGAATGTAATGAACAAGAAAAATCTTCTTCAATAATAGTGAGATAATGCAAAGAGAAATCTCCGGTAGGTAACTGGGTTAACAAGAATCTTAATTATGTTGAAAGGTATTTGCACGTATTGGTGTTCTTCGGGATTAGTAACATTGCACTTGTACGACCATATAACATTCAAGTCATTCTAACGATTGTTTTTATCTTTTGTTTAACGGTTTATCGTTAAAGCGTTAAAATGGCTCAATTTTAGTTACTCTCACTTTTATATGAAATGTAACTGTTGCAGTCAATATTGACTTGATGGTTAACGGCAGAGGGCCATTTTAATGTACTCGTGCTGTTTTTGTTTTTTTAATTCGCCAAAGTATAGTAACTTGTTTTAAAGCCCATCTAAACAAGGGAGAAAACTTATATGAATTATCTCCCTTGATAAAAATGTTATTTTATATAAAAAAAAATCCTTTTGTTATGTACAGTACGTATAGTTTTTGCTAATTGGATGGTGAGATCATTACTTGTGATGGTGTCTGTTTTGACATATGCTGTTTGTAAGTAATTGAGGACGGGGTTCAGGAAAAGGCACTGAGGTATATTTTTCTATATAAATGATAATACATGATATCTAGATACCAATGTACATGCATATCAAACTATGTGCATCAGAATTCCGTGACAGGTAGGATATTTTGCCAGCAATATAAAATAAAAATAAGAATGTTGTAAAATAAAGAAGCTAGATCTATAGTCAGAGGCTTTCCAATGATGTCAATCGATAATCAAGCATATCAACGATGACTGTGCCAGTTGATACAGTCACTCCCGTGCTGTAATTAATATTACTTTACGTGATAGCCTCGAAAATATACAAAACCTTACTTAATTTTATTTAGTATTAGTCCAACAACTTTTCAACTAAAATGGTTTTATATTAAGTCAGATTTATCTATATTTATCATTTTTCTTAAATTTGATTTTTTTAAAGATAATTTCTAAAAACTTCACAATATTTATGTGGCCTATCGTGAACTACAAAATCGATGCCGGATAGGAGGAGATGGTTGGACACCCCTGACTTCCTGCTTCTCCGTCGAATAATCACGGATCAGTCCCCAATCGGTAACTAGTAAAGCCTCAGAATTGTGGTATCTTGTTATTTGCTTGAAACCACATGATGGGTATCTCTGTTGAATATGTACCGCAATGGTCCATACGACATAGGTGTCGTTTGCATGAATTTCGGTTTCGAGATTTTGATTAGTTATTACAGATAATAATGAATATACATGAGTAATTCGTACATACTCATCTTATTCTTTTAATAACAACATTTTTAGAAATTGGACTTGGTGGTAGAGGCAGTTTGAGGGCAGAGAAACATTTTGGACGATCAGTCTCAGACTAAAGAGACTACGGATTTTCGATAAAACGTGCAACAGCGCTATCTGGAGCTGGCGCATATAGGCGATGGGTCAGTTAACTTATTGCCTTACAATAAACCACTGAGTATGACGTGTCATATTTTTTCACTTTTTATATAATTTTCTCATTTGGTTCTTTGGCAGTTTTTCTCTTCTTTCGAAACAAATTTCTTCTTACTAATGTCTCCCTTGACAATGCCTCACTTTTGGCCTTCAGTTGAGCGTTTGCCTCGTGAGGAAGGCTTCAGGTTCTGTTCCCTGGCCGAGACATACCAGAGTCTGTAAAAATGGTAGTTTTTACTCCTGCTTCACGCACAGCAATTTAGGAGTGGGGCGACTGGTTCGCCCGGTGTCGGTATAATGTGACTGGGTGGGATATCCTGCTTGGTGTCTTCAGTATGTTTCAGTGAGGTAGCACTATAAAGTCGGCATCAGTTCCGCGCTATCACAAGGAGATAAACACAAACATATCGCAGCCTCCTAAAACACACACTCATACACTACACGCATGCATCTTGCACACGGGGGAGGTCTCCTTAAATGACCATATATAGCTGTTAATAGGACGTTAAACAATACTTAACCAAACCAATACATTTTCCTGACTTCATTTTTTATCCTTTTTGAACGAAATGTTGCAAACAAGGGCTTGTCGGAAAGTTTTGAGTTGCTGACAACAAAAATCTGCTATGTTAAACAACACATACCTTATAATACATTGATAAATGGGTTATCAATTAGTCCCCTAACGGTTCCCCGGGGGGACTAGTACTATAGGTTTGCACTCTGTGCGCCCTTCTGTCTCCCCGAGAAGTTAATTTGTCCAGGGCATATCTTCTATATAATTTCACATGGAGTAGCCAGATTTGGCGTACAAGAACATCTTGGGTAGGCGGAGTGCAGTGTGCAAGACAAAGGTCACTATTACCTCACTGGGATCTATGCTTTGACCTTAACTTTTGAAAAAGTTTGTCCGGAGCATATCTTCTAAACTGTTTCTGTATTTCACCCGGTGAAGCCAGATTTGGAAATCTGGAGATGGCGAAGTGCAGAGTGCAAGAGTTAGGTCTCTGTGACCTGTGACTTGACCTTTGACCTTCACTTTTGAAAATGTTTCTTTGGGGCATATCTTCTATACTATTACACCTGGATTAACCAGATTTATTGTACAATGACATCTTGGGATGGCAGATGGCAGAGTGCACTTCTGAATAGAAAAATGTATTCAGTACGGTTTGTTGATTAGTCGATCCTGTGTAATTTGCATAATCTACAAAATTGACCCAGTATATTAAATTGTTTTGTTTCATTTTGTTTTAAGTTAATTAAGTGAAGTTTATTTACCGATACAGGATCTATACAGATCCTCTTCACCAAACTAAAATCATAACACAGAAATATTTAACAATAGATGAATGTGACGTTACTTGGATCATTAACGTATCTCAGATCTACAATTATATAAGAGTTCCTGGTTCTCTCAGAAACTTATCCAGACTATTTTACTATTGAATAACAAGGACTCTAAAGAAGCACTCTGTTGACAGAATCTAAATGAAGACTGTAAGATGTCTTGTTTTCTTTGAAAAGGGAGATAACCAAAGATGGAGTTTGCAGAATTTATTAAGAAGCCAATGGTGAACAATGTGGTTCTGTGGAAGCCATTCCGTAAGTCTGTTGAAGGAACACTTTGTATCACAGGGCATCACCTCATTCTGTCATCACGGAAGGACAACAAGGAGGAACTATGGGTAATTCTTTATACATCATGTTGTATAATATTTAAATTGTGACCTCCATGTCCCATTTAAGATTTCAACTGCTTTCCGTTGGCATTCTTAGTCAATGTGATTGCTGACTGGCATGTGACAAGTTCCATGAAGCGTGTTAGCCATTTGACCTTGGTAGGGATATTCATATTATGTCAATGCCATTGCAATTGAGTGATAAATATATATATTCATATATATATAATTCCTAGCATGCTGCTTGGTATACTGAAAGTAGTATTATAAAAATCGCTAGTACAATTTATACGTACCTGATATCTAAACTGTAGTTGCAACCTTAAAAAAGGCTTACAGCAAATAGACTGATGAACTGCTGAATACTGTGCAGTACTTTATATGCTGCCCTTATAAAAGTAAGTAAAGAAGTAGTGATCTTAACATGTAATTTCTGCATACTTTGTAGTTGGTATACAGATACACTCTCATTTTCAATACAAAATGTATTTAATTTATTTAAAAGATGGTACCAATTCTACATAGCTGTACGTACACACACACAGTACTTTCATTTTCCATATACTTTGTAGCTGCTACACAACAATGTTGACAGTATAGAGAAGAAGCTGTCTCAGCCCGGTGGAATTCTATCGCTGAAGTGTAAAGACTTTACACTGGTCGCCCTCGAGTTTCAGTCGGCAGAGGACTGTCTCAATGTCGGGGCTTCCATAGAACAGCTCTCCAATATTGGTAAGGACACTGGACAATTACCGTCTATCTTCATTTGCTTCCCCAGAAAATTTTGAAATCTAGAAGCTCTGTGGAGCATTCTTGGCTGAAAATAAAGCTTATCAGTTCTGCTGAAATGTTAGATAAATTTACAAAATATCTACTGGCCTGGCGGGATAGCTGGTTGAAAAACCTACTGAACTGCGTGGAAAACCACGGGCCAGTGGACCAGTGGCTAATTACACCCCTGCATTATTACAATATTTTTTTTACACCTGTTTTGAAGATTCATTGCATTGCAAGGCTCCAGAAGTGGTGTGAGTGATTATAAGACAAAACAAAAAATTCTTAAACAGTCCAGTATTATAACTGGCTTTGACACCATCTCTGGTTCACCCAAGTTTCTCCCTGCCTTCATTTAATGTTAATAAAAGCTAGTCGCAATCAATTCATTTAAAACATGTAACATGGTCGTTTTAACAGATAACCTGACATTGAGCTACCCATTTTTCTACCGTGCCATGTTTGAGCCTCTGGAGGACGGCTGGCAGGCTTTTCTCCCTGAGAATGAGTACACACGTTGTAAGGAATGCTCGGAGGAATGGAGACTTAGCTACGTCAACAAGGACTATTCGGTAGGCGGGGATGAACTAACCTATAGTCAATGATATTCAAGTTTTTTCTCTAAGTATAAAATATAAAATGGGGAAAAGTTCTTGAAATATTGAAATTAAAAGAATTATTGCTCAAGTTTGTTCTTGTTAATTCATCCACCCATTATCTGCTTGTTACGCTATTCAGACTGTGTTTAAGATGTCAGATTCACTCCCTTTTGCTATACAAACTTGTCCCAGTAATCAAGTCTTCATACAAACAAGCCACTGTTGCTAAGAATGGAGGGGAATGGATTATCAAGGCTGAACAGTAGAATTTTATGAAAACAATCAATAGTATAGTTTAAACAGTGCTAACATCACATTTGAAATTTAAACGAAAATGAAAACAAATTCTTTTATCAAACCAAAATCCGTTGCATTACATATTAACAAATGTATTAGGATTTGTAGAAAATGTTCTTATAAGCGGTACTTCAAGTATTGAACATTGCTTTTTGTTTGAACTTCTTCATTTGCTGCATGGTATTTATGTTGTTTTACTGGTCACTACCTTATGGCGTTGTTTCCTTTATTTTGTAGGTATGTCCGTCATATCCACATGCTGTCATTGTTCCTAAGACAGTTGATGACGACACGCTTGTAAAAGCAGCCCAGTTTCGTCAGCATGGCCGATTTCCAGTTCTTAGCTATTACAGTAAACAAACTAAGGTAAAACCTTATAGGTATGACGTTCAGATCATGCTATAATATTGATGAATAGAATCTTCCCCTACATTTAGGGTGTGACAGAGAGATCTCCAACCTTAGGGGTGTTGTTTTGGTTGTCTTACCTGAGACTCTGCTGAATAATCACCCAAGGGTCTGGAGATTTTTCATTTATTCATTTAACTCATTCACCCCTGAAGACACATTTGAAGTCTTCCAGTTCAAAGGTTTGAATAGTCCATTATGAAAAGTCAGGGGTGAATAAGTTAAATATGAACATATATATTTAACAATTTTCTTTTAACACCATTTTTACATTACATTCATGGTGTCATATAAAACATGCTATAGAAGGGCCTGAGTAATAGTTTTAAGAGGCACAGTAGTCTAGTGGTCATGACCGAAGGGTTGTGAGTTCGACTCACGTCATGGCACTGTGTTGTATCTTTGAGCAAAAAACTGTACTCCGCCTGTTCCAGTCTACTCAGCTGTAAATGAGTATGTGGTTGGGTAGTGCTAGAATTGTAGAATGCTAGCTGTGAGTGCTGAAATGGTAGCCCCGGCTGTATGCTCCCCAGGGAGTTGAGAAAGATATTGGCTGGTTGCGAAGGCCCTATAACCACTGAAATAATTTGTGAACCGCTTTGAGACGACCTACGATCTAGGTTGTGATACAGCGGTACATAGGTACCTCCAATTATTATATCACTGAATTTTAATGTCTCATGCAGGCCGTGATGATGCGGAGTAGTCAGCCTCTGACGGGTCAGAACAATAAGCGTTGTCGGGAAGACGAGAAACTGGTCAACTCTGTCCTTGGCATTGGCAAGCGTGGATACATTGTGGACACAAGGTCATCAAGTGCTGCCAAGTCAGCCCAGAGTAAAGGTGTGGGTCTTGTTGACTTCAGGTTAATAGTACATGCACAATAGTAAGGGTTCAGGATAGGAATAGACCTACTGTATACCACATGCATGTTGGAAGAGGCACTAATGTAGGATTCCCCCAGCCCTGCAGAATCAGGGGAGGTAACTTATATAGGACCCAACTAAGAACCCCCTTGCAGAATCAAGGACTTTCTTTAGGCTACATTCGCGTATCCCGGTTGAAAAGGTACGTGTGGCGCAGAAATTTTCCACGATAAACGAACACACCTGGACCGTTCTATAAACAGAGCATAAAATCCACAGTTTCGGAGAATAAAAAACAATGTATCAAGAATATTAAGCCCTTCTCTCACGCATCCACTAAAATACATAACGTATCTTAAAAACTACATGTGACTTGACATTGTTTAAGAAAGAAATATCGCAAATTGGCAATAGTCAGCATTTTAGTTTTGGTCAGGTACGTCTGGACCCCTCGATCTACACGTACCAAATTTTTCTGAGGTCAGCCTCGGTCCAAATCTGTACCCGTCGTTTTCTTTACCGGTTCAACTGTTTCAACCGGATACGCGAATGTACCCGTAGGGTCTTCTATTTGGAGGATATTGAAGAGACCAAATTTGATCTTCTGCCCTCATTGCAGTACTTGAGATCTGTCTTTTCCTACTCTTAGAGTATCTTTTGGTGACGTCTCCCTATGCACCCGTCTTCATATGACCTTATTTGTTGCGTGAATGGTAAAACTCAAAATAAAACAATATCCTGAGTCGAAAGATTGTCAGAAAATTAGGACATGAATATTTTATTTTTCATTTTTTGTTAAACACTATTATGTTTGTTAAAGTAACATGAATTAACAAAGACTTTATTGATATAGATATCCTCTGATGCCACAGGTGGCGGTTACGAGCCAGAGGCACACTACTCACAGTGGAGGCGAATTAACCAGCCAATAGAACGGCGACAACACTTCCACGAGTCCCTTATCAAACTAATGGAAGGTAAGTACGGCTGCATCTCATTGTCTTACAACACAGCAAAAAATTGAAAACTTCCTGATATTGAGATATTCAAACTTATTATCAAAATACTTCTACAAAATATCAGATGTTTACATTCATTTCTGTTAGGAATGTAACCACTTCCGTTTTTCCTTGTTAATAATTGTTTGCTGTGTTTATTCCAGCCTGCAGTGACAATGGGGCTAGTATGGACAAGTGGCTGTCTAAACTGGAATCTAGTAACTGGCTTACAAACATCAAAGACATTCTTACCTGTGCTTGTACTGTAGCACAGTGTATGGACTCTGAAGGTAGGTATTTCATCTAATACAGGTAAAATATCTCATCTGTGTATGTATACAGGTAAACTGTCTCACATGTGTATGTATATAGGTAAACTATCTCACCTGTGTATGTATACAGGTAAACTGTCCCATCTTTGTATGTATACAGGTAAACTATCTCACCTGTGTATGTAGACAGGTAAACTATCACACTTATGTAATTAGACAGGTAAACTGTCTGATCTGTGTATGTAGACAGGTAAACTATCTCACCTGTGTATGTAGACAGGTAAACGATCTCACCTGTGTATGTAGACAGGTAAACTGTCACACCTGTGTATATACACAGGTAAACTGTCACACCTGTGTATGAATATAGGTAAACTATCTCACCTGTGTATGTAGACAGGTAAACTGTCACACCTGTGTATGTATACAGGTAAAACCACTCATCTGTGTATGTAGACAGGTAAACTGTCACACCTGTGTATGTAGACAGGTAAACTGTCACACCTGTGTATATAGACAGGTAAACGATCTCACCTGTGTATGTAGACCGGTAAACTGTAACACCTGTGTATGTTTACAGGTAAACTGTCACACCTGTGTATGTTTACAGGTAAACTGTCACACCTGTGTATGTATACAGGTAAACTACTTTATATGGTATGTATAACATAAGATACAGTGCATTTGATACCACAACAGATTGTTTTACTGAAGCCAAACAATTGATAAGTAATGTGGTAATCACACTTTACAGGAGCTTCTGTGTTGGTCCATGGATCCGAGGGACTGGATACTACACTTCAAGTTACCTCCCTTGTCCAGTTGATCCTTGATCACGATTGTCGAACCATTAATGGGTGAGAACAATGTGTACTGTCACTTACAGTGTTTGTAAACCTGGTATAGATAACCACATCATGTATTCAGTGGCTTTTGTGATAACAAGTATTTGACTCCAGAAAGTAAAAAAATGTTTCCCAATTCATCCTGGGGTCCTTAATACTAATTCTTTCAGCCTACTCATCTATGCAGATGGGTACTAGCAAGCTGGCTAAAAATTCTGTAAAATAGTCCTGTTTTCCTAAGAGTGAGATATAAACTGTATGATAAGTCATGCAGCTTATGAGACAGCTCTGAGGGCCACTGAGATTTAAGATATATGTTTTGGCGACTCTTTACTTCATTTTGTTTATACATTTTAATTTAATTGTCAGGTTTGAGGCACTAGTGGAGCGGGAATGGCTCCAGGCTGGTCATCCTTTCAGTGACAGATGTGCTAAGTCTGCATATGCCACAACCAAGACACGTCAGGAGTCGCCGACGTTCTTAATGTTTCTCGATTGTGTCTGGCAGGTAATGCTACCCCAAAATGATACACTCTGGTCAAACGCTAGGTATAATGCTGGTCAGCTGTGAATGATATCCAAGTTAAGTTTAGATAATAATTAAGGTCTAGACCAATGCAATTTAATACTGTATACTCAATTTGTGCTTTTGAAAGGAAAAATCTGCAAAAAAAAATCATGAGGTTTTTTGACTAACCAAAATGGTATACCAGGAACATTTGCCCTGGCCAACTTTGGCCCTCTAGATCTGCGGGTTAAATCCATATTCTCTCGGTGTTAACTTTTCCCTTTACATTTGATTAATATGTTTGTTATGGTGAACATTATTGTTTGCTGTCACTCTCATTACAAGGGGAAGAAAAGTGTTAGTTAAACTGCAGCAAAACTTTCCGGGTGTACAGTATTCCCTGAAGTCAAACTCTGAGAACAGTAATGGTCCTTGATGTTGGGTATAACTTCCATATCCCCTATATTATAGGTTTAGACATGAAGATGCACTGTGCTAAGTTAAAGCACAATGTACATATAGATTAAAATCACAAATTGATTGTCAAATATAATCCTGAATTGTTTTGTTGTGAAATTTAGTATCTGCAAATAAATATACCTAAGAGGTTATGTGATGGCACTGTATTGCATGTTGCACTGTACATTGGCCATCTATTCCTCTTTTCGTTCATTATAAAGGATAAAAGACAAAAAAATAATAATTGTAAGATGTTTACCTAGATACTTAAACGGTTGTATTGTCCAATTGTGCTTCAGATTTCAAAGCATTTCCATCTACAGAAGTATGAGGCCTTGAGTCATGATATTTGTCCTATAGCTTGATGAAGTGATATAATTTCAAATAACATTAACCCACTTTCAAAGACACTGGGGTCAAATGCACTACGATTTTCAAATTTTTTTTTTTGTAAGAACCTGCTTTCAAATTTCGGGTCATAATATTTTACCTGTGGCTTGAAGGGGTTAAGGGCTATCAAGTTGGTTCGGAATAATGACTTTTTATTGATGTTTTTCATTATTATTTTTTTCAGATCTGGCAGCAGTTTCCCTGTTCTTTTGAGTTCACTGAAGATTTCCTCATCTTGTTACAACAGCATGCATATTCCTCACAGTTTGGTGAGTGACTTGAATAGCACTTACTCTCACTGAAAATCTGGGCCTGTATTCATGAAATCAAGTGGAACGGTAAAAAATTCAAATGAAATATTTGAAAATGGTGTTTGACTTTCAGTCTCTCAAAAATTCTTTCAAATCATTGAGAAATTGTTATTTTTATGCCCCCACCATAAAATGGGGGGTGCATATAGTGTTGCCCATGTTCGTAGCGTCCCGTCCCGTCCAATCCCTGAGCGGGGGCATTTATGTCTTACAGACATTTTCTAGTTTATTAATCTATCGACAGAACAAGAAATTGGACTTGAGCACAGAATCTGAATTTGGGTTTCATGAATACGAGCTCTGGTTATTAATATTTTAGTTCCAGAATTGGATTTAAAAATGTTATTCTTGATTATGTATATTTTGTGTGCCTTTACCAGGTATGAGTAGATCAAATATATTGTGCAACATTTTGAGACCTGACCTTTGACCTGACCTCTGTCACAATAGCTTAATTTTTGAATTTAGGTCAGTTGTGGATTAAATACTGCAGCTATAGGATCACAGTACAGCGTCACCTTCTGATGCTCCTCCTATAGGGCAGCATGTTGATTGACTTTTTGTAACCTTGACCTTTGAGCATGGCTTCTGTGACCTTGATGGAGTGAGGCATCTTTGTGGTACTGACACAATTCTAGTTTCTATAAACACCATCATGGTTGATCCTTGTCGTGAGGAAACAATTTACTATTTCTATGATGTCAAATTGTTATAAAATATCAAAAGCAGTACCGAAATTTTAGAGTTTGGTCACAAGAAATCAGAGCAATACAATATCCATTGTTCCATTGGACAGCCTTCATGTGAATCCCATTGGAAAACACATCAGATGAAGGATAAAAACAGGGACTAAAATGTCTTATATTACTAAAAAGTGTTAACAGATAAATGTTTTTCTTCCAGGTACATTCCTGTGCAATAATGAACGAGAAAGAAGGCATTACCGTTTATCAAAGAAAAGTGTTTCTCTATGGTGAGTTTGATTTAAGTTACCAGTATAAAAGGCAAGCAGCTCAGTTATTCAATGATTTATGTTAAAGGCTAACTGTTAAATTCCTCCTGATGTCCATACCCATACAAATAACCATTCTTTAGATTAAGTATGCTCTGAACTCTTTATAATGAGGCTTTCCCTTTATGTTTGTATAAAAAGAATATATGATGAAAATACTTCAAATGGAATTTCTAAAAGTTGAATCAAATGTGCACAGAAGAAGATGCATTAAGAAAGCGAATGACTTGAATACCTGGCTAAAAAAGGATGGTTTTGATTATATTTGTCTAATTTTGATATTTTTTGAGAGATTATCTTGGTCAAAGGAAGAAGATGCAGTAATAGGTTGATTGTTTAAATCACACACTATTCTATTATGTACATGTTTTAGAATTTTCAAAAAAATGAATCTTTTGATAGGGATTCAATAACTGTGATAAGGTATATTTAGCTATTAGGAGTCAGTATTGGAATTGGTCAGAATTCATTATACATGTATAATATATAAGAATTGTGAGTCACTTAATATTAAACTCACTAAAATATGCAGTAATTTTGAAATTGCAAATTCACCACTGTTTAAATTTACCATTGCGTAAATTAAAAACTGCTCAAGTTGAACAGTTCTTGTGTATTGATATCCAACATTCACATTTTTTGTGCAGGACTTATTTAGCTCGACCAGAAGTTTTGGGCGTTTTCCTTAATCCTATGTATGACCCAAATCCTAGAGTGATCTGGCCGTCTGTTGCTCCACAAAGTTTGGTAAGTTATGCCTCTTGGAATCATTTGACTGTATATTGCCCTACAAAGTTTGGTAAGTTATGCCTCTTGGAATCATTTGACTGTATATTGCCCTACAAAGATTGGTAAATAAAGGATCTTACATGAGTGTCCATGTCTTATTGAATCTATTGAACAAGTTTAATAATATCAATATGATATGGACACGAATGAAAGATTCTATTTTAATATCACATAACATTAATAGTTTGAAAGAAAAACATCAAACACAATTATGTGTTATCAGATGACTTTTTAGTATTGCCGGTCCATGCAGGAAAAACTAGTTCCAGATTTTTCCAAAATAATGAACAGTTAAAAATGCAATGAAAATAATAATGACAAAATTAACATTTCAAATTTATTTATATAACAGTAAATATATCGTGCTGTATAGTAAATAAAAGTAGTACCTGTAGTGGTGTAGGAATATATTCCCACGGTTTTGACCAATCGCAGCACCTTTTAGGTTTTATTACACGTGTGCAATACCATATTTATGAGATGGCCGTATGACAGGGTAAAATGAGTCAGTTATGTGATATTTGGTATTATAGCTGGGAATGGGCCATATAGACAAAACAATTAACATCACAACTCATTCTTATTCTACTGCAATATTATTTTGGGGATGTGTGTCCGTCCTGTCCCATTGTACCAGGGTAACTCGTGTTGATTCATTATTGTGAACAGCTTTATTTCAAAGTTTATACAAAGGTTAAGTATGCTTATACCTTGGATCAGCTTGTATCTCAGGGTTGATGCCAATGTTGTTGTTGCTAAATAATCATAGGTGAACCAGAAAAGAGTCACTACATGTATTACTACTGATAAAGTAAATTGTCAAACAGCAAAAGTTGCAGGGCCAAAGGGACATTCGTGTCTTGGAAGACATTTTCTAGAAAGTAGTTTCAAAATTAGCTTTTTGTCTTTCCACAAGCATTGTATCTTTTATGTTTTCTGTACACGTTTTTATAGAAACCTATTAGAAAGAAAATGTTGAATATTTTGATGAATCAAGAAACTCTTATAGACAATATTTTTTCTTTGGCTGAAGTTTTTATTTACATTTAGATTTTGTAATTTAAAGCTAAAGGTCATGGACAATCTGAAGAAAAAGGTTTCTTTTAAAATGAAGAAAATATTGACTATTTATTAGATTTTTTTTTAGAAAATTTCAAGTTTATAAATAATCTCCTTTCAAACCTTAAACTTTTCAAGTTTTTTGGAAGGTTGAAAATCTGGATGAGGAGCAAAGATTTTTTATACTTTGTGTATAAATCAACATTTTCAATGAAAATAGAGTAAGCATTGATATTGACACAACATTGTATATATCGGATTATTTTCATTTTTAGAGTTTATGGGCAGGACTTTACCAGCGATCAATGATCAACCAATCAAAACAGAAGGAGGCGTGGAAAGAAATCACCAAGATTAGAGAGTATGACAAAGAGCTGAGGTCAAAGGTTACAAAACTCCGAAGGTAATTGCTAGAGAGTGGGTTAATAGAGTTGTCTATCCTGTCTGGCATTCTTATATCACCTAAGTTACTATCACATACAAAAAAGTTATCTGTGTAATATAAACCTGAGGCTTCAGACCTAGAGTCCCTTTACATTAGTCTCTAGATTTATTTCATCACTGGAGAAAGCAACCGAGACGCTCTAATTATAGGGAACCAATTCTTATCCACCTGCAGATAAATGTATGGATTGAATATTTATTTAAAAGTTGGGAACACACTGAATGACATTAATTGGCAATACTTAAATTTAATATACATCCAAACTATGTAATCTGTCATTCAGAATCACTACTACAGTGATATGTCCATGATGATGTCATAGTATAATAGTTTCAGAAGATCTCGGTGTGATTAAAATCCTGTGTACTTTCAGACAACTGGCGTCACTGGAAAAAGAGGCCATCGGAGCTGGGGTGATCATGCCAGTCGGACTGGACGTTGACTGTACCATAGATTAAATAAATGGCATTTATAAGTGATCAACAGGGACTTACATAGATGGACCAAGTGTGGAAAACATGTATGATGAGCTAAAATGAACTTTATGGACATGTAGCATGCATCAAACATATTGAAAACTGTTTAACTTAAAACACAAAGATTATCTCCCAACTGAAGATCAGAGATGATATAAAGACATTTAATTTTTTTGCAGAAAAACGGAAAAGTCCTGTTAAAAAATAGAGTTAAGACTTTAAAATTTATAGTACGATGTTCAGGTTAACAAATGTTAGACCCCTATGTACCTTCAGTAGACTCTGCCATGCATTGATATGGATGAGTCCATTATGGTCTACAGTGGTGAAAGGGTTAAGCATATTTGATCGAAAGATATGAGATTTTTTTTTCCAAATTCTTGTGAAATATGTGAAATTAAATCTAAAGTTATAGTACTCTACATAACTAGCTATCCAGAACAGTTGGTGGTACGTGTACATGGCTACCTGCACAGAGGTATGTGTACAGAGGCATGTGTGTTCTGTAAGGTCAGATAAGGTAAACCTAATTTATGTACACGTTTGTATGATTGTCCAGTATTTATGATCTCAATTCCGACTTTGGAATTGTTGGGGAGTCCTTTGTTGTACTATCTAGATTAACACATTGTAGTTAAAATGTAAAAATTTGAATGATCACAATTTATTGCTTCCAGTTCTGTGATATTTTGGTTGTATTTGTCACTGTTTTGTCATGCTGTGTGTGCTGAACACAGGGGGTCTGTATTGTGGAATGATGTAGTGATATTTGTCCACATCATTATCCTTTATAATCTGAAAACCTGAATAAACAAGACACTTGTCTAGGTCTCCACTGGTGTTCAGCTATAAAGACAGGTCTCCCTATAAAAATGTGTTAATATTATCCTTGTAAATTTAATGCTCTTGTTTGGGGAGACATTTATATTTGTTTACCTGAGGTATGCTATGTTCACCGAGGCATGCTATGTTCACCGAGGTGTGCTATGTTCACCGAGGTATGCTATGTTTACCTGAGGTGTGCTTTGTTCACCGAGGCATGCTATGTTCACCAAGGTGTGCTATATTCACCGAGGCATGCTATGTTTACCTGAGGTGTGCTATGTTCACTGGGGCATGCTTTGTTCACCGAGGTGTGCTATGTTCACCGAGGCATGCTATGTTCACCGAGGTGTGCTATGTTTCCCTTGGGCTTTATGATACCAAAATAGAATAATTAATTTTCTATTCGGCAAAGATACTTGGAACTCATAAGTGATAAGTCTTGCAGATTTTTTAAAGATGTCTCCATACAATGGAGGAGAATAAATTGCCAAAGCAAGCCTGAAACTATTCCATGAAAAGGGAATGCATTTTATTTCAAAATCATGTGATAATCCAATTCAATCCAATATGTTGTTGTTATTGTAGGGACAAATTATAATAGAGTTTATCACAAGTGGACGGGTATTTGTCTTTCTGTAAAATTCCTGTATTATTCGATACTGACTGCTATCCATCTGTCATGTATCTCGTAGTCTTTTCACCTTTGTATACATGTACATTCTCTGTAACCTGTGGGTGCATGTATTTTATTTCTAGATAAGTTCACCATGCTTTCTATAGTTCTGACTGTTAGATGTTGGTTAGTCTGTAGAAACCTTGTATTAAGATTCTGTGTTAGATGTCAGGTTGTGTTTTTTGACAGAAAAAAACAGTTCACTGGTTTGCTCGTCGATCTGACTCGTTTTGTGTGACCTACTGCAGTAGCTAATATACATTAGGTTTTACTTCTAGTTTGAAGTATTTCAAGCTTAATACTATGTAAGCGAAGTGTTGAATTTGAAGTATTTTCATTTATGTATATATTTTGTACATTTTATTTAAACATAAAATGTGATCATCTGTGATCTTTAACATAAAGAATGTGAAAGCATTAGGTATCATATTTTGCTTTGATGTTGAATTTTGTTTGTTTATCCAAATTTCATTTGTTTAGTTTTCTCCTGTTTATAGAGAGCCTATCTTATATTTCCTTAGGTCCCATTTTTTTGGTTATGCTCTAAGAACTACATAACAATGGACATTTTCACTTGTATATAAATCAATTATTTAAAACAGAACTCTGTGAAAACTTAATGAATTTACGTACACCTTTACAATACGGACTAAATGTGTGTACATGTGATTTATTTACCGTTTACCGGTATTATGATACAACACTAAAAATATCAAATGGTCTGAAGTTAAGATTCTTTTCTAATGAAAGTATTTTAATGTATTAAGATGCAGACCAGGTGGTTTATTTAACTTTTTCAGTATGTCATATGCTGCAGTTTTCAATTAGGTCCACCTCAATATTCCACCGAAAATGTCGTGTTTATATGTGTTTAGATTTCTTCGGACCACATAAAGACCATGCTATTTATAACTCATGACGCTGTTCAGTGTAAGATTGCCAACTTGTAGAAATACAATGTCTAGGGTGGTCCTGGAATAATTTATGTAAAAAACTCATGCATGGTATCTAGTTGAAATTTGTTATCACAAAATGAGGAAAAAAAGTAATTAAAAGGAAATCAATTGGCAGCATTACAAAACTGTGAGCACTTGTAATGATATAAAATTCAGGAAATTTTAAAACTTGTAATGATGGTACAGGCAATGTACGAAATAACTTGATGTCAGAAATACTATTGTGTTGTGTTTTCATAACTAACAACTTTATGTACCAAGTTATTTAACCACTAAAAAGTGTTCAGAATTAAATTAACAACGGAACATTGATAAATCATTCCATAAACCTAACCCCAAAACTTAGGGAACTGGGTGACTGATGTGTCAAGGTTTGTGTCCGGACTTATTGACTCAGAGATAGAATAAGATCACAACATCCTTGTGAAGTACTATATTTCACATCTAAATGTAGCTGTTGGGCATGTGCAATATTATATTGATGTTCTACATGGCTTCATATTCTAATAAAACTGGCCATTTATAATGTAAGTAAAGCTAAGCCTGGCCACATGTATCACCAATATATATACACTTTTGATTCAAGTTGACAAATATTTCCATAGATATCATACAAGGATATGATATCTTTGCTTGCAGGTGTATAATATCCATGTCGGGACGTAATTTGACCTTTCAGGGTCACAATCACAGTGTCTGGGGATATTTTCGGTTTTATTAATCATTATCAAACAGGGTTGATGGATTCTAATTAATCTAATTAATCCCGTCCATACCTTAGAATAAAAATAATTATTTCAAGGAAAAATATAACTTGCTATCACTCTAAAACTTGAGAAATTTGATGAACTTCTTATTTATTCTTGTAAGTATTTTACCGAATGAAAAGTATTCGACCCAATGATTTTTGTGCATTTGTCTTTGGATCTCAACTTGAGAACAGAAGAAGTATATATATATATAAAGGTAATATGACATACTGGGGCCTGCTTGTTATTGTGTACAAATCTTTGTTTACACTGGCTATTTAAGTCGTGAAATCTTACTTAATTTATGACATGTGCTTTATGGTAATGAATAAATATAAAAAAAGCTTTTCTTTGTTTGTTCTTGCAAGCATAAAATACAAACATACAAACATGAACATGGCATTAGGGCAATAACATGCCTGTAAGTCAAATATTGGGCTATTTGTTTGAATTTCACTATCTTGTGCGTTTCGATCGAAGGTTAACTAAGACTGCTGATCAGGACTACAACAGCCCCTGTACTCATTCACCCCTACATATGTAAACTGGACTTGCCCAGTCTATGATTTGGTAAGGTTCAAATGTGACTTTAGGGATGAATGGGTTAAGAATCTTTTACTTTAGTTCTATAATGGCCCAGGGTCACGTTTGTAGACCTGTAGAGTGAAACTTTTCAGTCCTTTATAGTCATATCTTGAAACGGTCGAAATTCCTATTATATAACCATACATATATGCCTCCTTGACGGGAAGAAAACAACACAAGTATGCTTCCAGAATTAGCCCGGAAGTCATGCCCTGCCCCAGGGATTTAATTTCCAGCCATTTACATGAAATTGATCGAGATGCTAACCCTATAACAACATACAACTAATGGTACTCGGAATTTGCTGTCGCAGCAATCTGATTAAAATCATCTGTTACATGGCTCCGCCTGAACATCTGAATGTGCCGCAGTCAGGGTCGCGTTCAAGTGACCTTTAGATGAACCAATCAGAGGCACGCTGGCAAAAGTTTGCCAGCGAATCGGAATGTCATGGTTGATAGATAAATAGCGAGGGGTATCGAACAGCATAGTTTCAGGCGTAGTATGAATTTAATGAAGCCATGTAACAGATGATTTTAATCAGATTGCTGTCGGAGACAAATTGGGATGGTATTTGCAATACTACTTTTAACAAGAATATTTTGCCATCATTTCTTTAATATCCAGATTAGCTATATTGGCCTCTGGACCATGCATAAAAAATATTGCTGAAATATTTTTATTTTACCCTTAAGCTTGTGACCGTGAAATTAGGTCAGGGTCATTGATATGAGGAAACTTGATAGCTCTCTATACTAGCCAAATGTCAGAACCCTGGGCAAGTATGTTGATCCTTCCAAGATAGGCATATATAAAGGATCCTGCCTCAGTCAGCATGGCATGGATTTAATTTTGATAAAGACAATACCCAATATATTTCCAAATATTTCTGAAAAATTGTTGAAAAATATTAAAATTTTGCGATCCAGGACTGATTTTCGTTCGTTCCTATGTATTGATACTTTCATTTTTACCTAAATAAAGTGCACTATTTGCAATTACATGTATTTATGGTATGTTCAGGATCTGGAGCTGTGAGAAAAAATGTATAAAACAAACACTGATATATCTTTAAGATCTTTTTTATTATTCAGCAATAATAACAAAATAAGAAAATAATCCCACACAGAAAAGCTTAGCTTTAAAGTTTAAGCCAAAATAATTGATCACATTCATACATGTACATATGTATATTGGACAGAAGTGTGTCAACAAATAACACTTGTATTGGTAATAAGCCTTCCATGCATGGTAATAAGCCCGCGTCAGACAACAGATTTTAGAGACGAGCTATATAGTTACCATTTCATACAAGATTTAAATTCATTTAAGTGGGACAAGGGGGTAAATCTTGTGAAATTTAAACAAAATCAAGATCATGTTTATAACCTTAAATACCAAAAGAAAAATCACTAAAACAGTTGTTCTATGACCATCAACCTGTTATTATTTTTCATTTTGACCCGTGTCCATTGATTGTGTTTTTTCATTTTGACCCGTGTCCATTGATTGTGTTAATAACAATCTTAAATGTCTGTTTTATCGATTCTGACGTAACATTATGGGTGCTACATGTATATGAGGTGACAAGCAAAAAAATATGGCATGGACATTTAATCACTCACTGTCCGACTGTTTAAGTATTTTCTGATGTAGTAAACTATAATAATAGCTCTTAGCCACAAAATATTGAAATCTGTTGCCATTTTTACTGGCTGCTTCTAGGGACTCCCAGGTTGGAAATCAAGTACTGTTTTTACCATTTCTAACAACTCCCTGGGCATATTTCATCCCGTTTCTTTAGACCCTAAGACCCTAAGAGCTATTTTTACCCAGTTTCTATGGCCTCCCCAAGGCTTATTTCATTTCTAAGGATATCTGGGCCCATTTTACTCTGTTCCATTCATAAGGACTCCCTGTATTATCTTTGTCCCCATTTCCAATGGCTGTATATATGGCTTAACACAGATAAAACATGTTAGTAATTCAGACAAGTCAGTGTACATACGTACAACACTATACAAAACAGGTAACATACTGTGATAACAGAACGTTTCATTACTACAGTGTAATAATAGAACACACACTCTCCTCTGTACTCTTAGATTGTGATAACAGAACGTTTCATTACTACAGTGTAATAATAGAACACACACTCTCCTCTGTACTCTTAGATTGTGATAACAGAACGTTTCATTACTACAGTGTAATAATAGAACACACACTCTCCTCTGTACTCTTAGATTGTGATAACAGAACGTTTCATTACTACAGTGTAATAATAGAACACACACTCTCCTCTGTACTCTTAGATTGTGATAACAGAACGTTTCATTACTACAGTGTAATAATAGAACACACACTCTCCTCTGTACTCTTAGATTGTGATAACAGAACGTTTCATTACTACAGTGTAATAATAGAACACACACTCTCCTCTGTACTCTTAGATTGTGATAACAGAACGTTTCATTACTACAGTGTAATAATAGAACACACACTCTCCTCTGTACTCTTAGATTGTGATAACAGAACGTTTCATTACTACAGTGTAATAATAGAACACACACTCTCCTCTGTACTCTTAGATTGTGATAACAGAACGTTTCATTACTACAGTGTAATAATAGAACACACACTCTCCTCTGTACTCTTAGATTGTGATAACAGAACGTTTCATTACTACAGTGTAATAATAGAACACACACTCTCCTCTGTACTCTTAGATTGTGATAACAGAACGTTTCATTACTACAGTGTAATAATAGAACACACACTCTCCTCTGTACTCTTAGATTGTGATAACAGAACGTTTCATTACTACAGTGTAATAATAGAACACACACTCTCCTCTGTACTCTTAGATTGTGATAACAGAACGTTTCATTACTACAGTGTAATAATAGAACACACACTCTCCTCTGTACTCTTAGATTGTGATAACAGAACGTTTCATTACTACAGTGTAATAATAGAACACACACTCTCCTCTGTACTCTTAGATTGTGATAACAGAACGTTTCATTACTACAGTGTAATAATAGAACACACACTCTCCTCTGTACTCTTAGATTGTGATAACAGAACGTTTCATTACTACAGTGTAATAATAGAACACACACTCTCCTCTGTACTCTTAGATTGTGATAACAGAACGTTTCATTACTACAGTGTAATAATAGAACACACACTCTCCTCTGTACTCTTAGATTGTGATAACAGAACGTTTCATTACTACAGTGTAATAATAGAACACACACTCTCCTCTGTACTCTTAGATTGTGATAACAGAACGTTTCATTACTACAGTGTAATAATAGAACACACACTCTCCTCTGTACTCTTAGATTGTGATAACAGAACGTTTCATTACTACAGTGTAATAATAGAACACACACTCTCCTCTGTACTCTTAGATTGTGATAACAGAACGTTTCATTACTACAGTGTAATAATAGAACACACACTCTCCTCTGTACTCTTAGATTGTGATAACAGAACGTTTCATTACTACAGTGTAATAATAGAACACACACTCTCCTCTGTACTCTTAGATTGTGATAACAGAACGTTTCATTACTACAGTGTAATAATAGAACACACACTCTCCTCTGTACTCTTAGATTGTGATAACAGAACGTTTCATTACTACAGTGTAATAATAGAACACACACTCTCCTCTGTACTCTTAGATTGTGATAACAGAACGTTTCATTACTACAGTGTAATAATAGAACACACACTCTCCTCTGTACTCTTAGATTGTGATAACAGAACGTTTCATTACTACAGTGTAATAATACAACACACACTCTCCTCTGTACTCTTAGATTGTGATAACAGAACGTTTCATTGCTACAGTGTAATAATACAACACACACTCTCCTCTGTACTCTTAGATATACATATATAAATTTGTCGGTTTTTCTTCTTTTTGCCAAAAATAAAATAAAAAATTACCAGTCATTTTTGTTCAAATTTTGAAATTATCTGATATCCAAAAGTTTGATAAAATAACAAAAAAAATATTAGACCATTGTGCACTTGTCACAACTCGACATATTCTGTACCAACCGGAATCAGCTAAGGTTAACCGAATGACCACTGTAATGTCACTTCAGGTACTTAGAAGTTCCCATATCATATATTGTGGTTTTATATCAATAATGATTTGAATTAACCAATAAATTCCTTGATATATCTTAAAAAAGAAATCGGAGATTTCCATTCATCAAATCAGGGGGAATAACTTGATACGAATATATATTGTAGCACTATTAACATTATTAACTTATCTTCAAACTGAATAATACTTTGAATTTGAAATATATGAAAGATCTGACAAGTAAACTTGCACTGTTTTACAGTCTGCACTAAATAGACTTTTATACAAGAACTTACAACACTATATCAATAAGTTTACAATTAACTACAAACAGTATTTGTTACCGGTATGACATGATAAATATTATGGCATGTTCATTTTAGAGAAACACAATTGAATTAACATTAATAGTCAACATAAACTCTCATAATAATATAATACATCCAATGGCAATATACAACAGACTAGGATCTCAAAACATCAGTCTACAGTCTAATTAAAAGTACCTGGCACATCAGTCAAATCTAATAAACACTTTCCTCACTTTCAGTTCAATTAATTGTCTCCTGTAAGTGAATGGTCCATATTTCCCTTTGAAACAGTTTGCTTTTTTAAAAAGGAAAATTTTCCATAGATTTCCATGTGTGTGGCCTCATTGAGAGAGAGAGTTTTTCAGTATTTTCAAAATTGTGATTTTCGTGAAAATGTTGCACATTTTTGAAAATCCCAATTATGGGGCAAAAATTAAGGTCTGCTATCAAAGATTTTGAAAAAAAAAAAGTATCCAAAACTTGAATCCCCGTAGGTCTTGCATTAAAGAGAGAAAAATAGAAATGTAAGCCAGACATACTAATACACACAGCTTGATCAAGCATGGAAGTTTCTGATGCCTCATGATCAGCCAATCAAAAAGTGGCCATCTTGAATTACAAAAATTAAAAGATGGCCACTTAATGTAAAGTATATCCCTATGTACCCCTCCCAGAAAATATCAATGTAATTGGTCTTGTAGCTTTAGATAATTTGTCCAGACATAGTACAAAAGCTCAAACCTGCATCGTGAGAGATACATCGTAACTCTAGGAAAAAGTGGAAACCAAAATATAAATTTCAAGTGTTCAAGAACATGATGCAACAATATTATGCATATAAAGTTTTGTTGAAGTTGACTTGTAAGTTTATAAGGAGTTGTCGGGACAAGCTTTTATCCACAACCCACATATAGACAGGTCTAATTACAAGCTGATTCCAGTAACTCCCCCTCCCACAACTTTGTTGCCAGGGTCGGGGTTTAACATGAAATATAGCTAGTGGCCATAGAGAAATTCTGGACAACAAATGCATTATCTTTGGATAATGTTTTCTTCACTAGACATAAAATTAACTTGTGAGTTTAATTTTCTTAACTAGGTAAATAAATAAATGTAAGGTTTGGTAATGTTAACGTGATGACTAGAAATCTCTGTTACACAGTGGCAAATACACTCAGTACATTTATACATAGTATGTCATTGATGAACTACCATGACAGGCTGTTAACCCTTTCACCCCTAGGTAACTTTAGTGGACTCTACCATACATTTATCTGGATGAGTCCATTCTGGTCTACAGTGGTGAAAGAGTTAACTCCACAGTCATATTTTCTGTGAATTGAACAAGCAATGGTGTAATTAAACAATTGTGAATAAAAAGTATGTGAGATCAAGGAATAAATAATGTACATGTATAAGCTCGTGTTTACCGACATACATACACTTTATACGTGTAATCGTATTTATCAATGTACAGTACAGGACTGGTGTTACTCCAGACAGTGGCTTAATTTCTATCAATACAATATAAAGCTACATTATTGAACCATTTCTATCTGGCAATAAACCCTGTCAGAAATGTATCTATATACACAGTAAACATATATGCCATCCATTTCATTTTCAAACAGTTACATCAACCAATATGTTGAGAAAAAGCACACAATGCAATCTTGTTGTAAAAATGCTAAAACTGAAAAACAGCACATAAGTCACCCCCAATAACGGTCTCCCATACAGCACTACACAGAATGATGTCTTGTACAGCACTACACACAGTAGTGTATAGGACATCTCTGTAAATATAACAAAATACCTAGCAAGGTTTATTATACATGTACTGTAGATAATTAACATTTCACAAGTCATATGTTTGTATTTGACAGGCGAGACAAATATACAAATATTGGCTGAGGAAATATTTAAGAAGGAAATATATATATAATACATAGCTCTTTTGTTTATCAAAACTTCAAATTCATATAAGAAAAAGAAAATATTTTGAATAAAAATTGAGAAAAAATAAATTTGTGAGAGATTTGGAGAACTACCTAACATCTATGTATAGCTGGTAGTTGTTTTTGTTTACAATGATAATACAAATCTGCACTTGTTATATGTGCTTTTACAAAAGCAATGGAATTCTTAAATTTTATGATAAAATGCTAGCTTGTAATTCAATTTCTATGGTAATGCAATTTATGATCAATGTCTTGAACTTTGCCTACTACTTTGCCTAGTTGTTGACTAGTACTAACTTCCACTAACGTCAAGTTCTGTAGTTTTATGAAGCATCACCCTCATCAGTTTTACTTTCAGATAATTTTATAGTATAATTTTTTGCTTTTCTTTATCTGCATCTCCTGTCCCTACATCTTCAGCAATAGCTGGCTTTGTTACCATAGACACATCTGAATCACCTAAATCCTTTTGACCTGATGTGTTGTCTCCCTTGGCTATACTGGGTTCAGAACCAAGGCTAACACATTCCTCAACCACTTTTGACGGGTCGTGTAGTGCTCCAGAATTCTCTGTTACTGTCTCTTTACATCTGTCTTCCTTTGCCTTTGAAGATTTGTCACTGTCTACAACATTTTCTATTGTTTCCTTTTCAAATGTGGAGTGTTCGTCTTCCCTTGAGCATGATATAGTTTCAACATTTGAAACCTTAGTTGTGATTTCTGTTACATCAGATGGTGAAGTATTCTTTGTACTTATTGAACTAATTTGAGCACTTGATGAACTGTCCTCTATTCCTGATAAATCATCCTGTTTACACATAGAACTGTCCTGTACATCTGATGGACAGTCCTTTGTACTTGAACTATCTGTCACACCTGATGAACCATGTTGTACACCTGGTGAATTGACCTGTGTACTTGATGAGCTGTCGTGTGCACTTGATGAACTGCATTTTACACTTGATGAACTGTCCTTGACACTTGATGAACTGTCCTTGACACTTGATGAACTGCCTTTTACACTTGGTGAACTGTCCTTGACACTTGATGAACTGTCCTTGACACTTGATGAACTGTCCTTGACACTTGATGAACTGACTTTTGTACTTGATGAATCGTCCATGTTACTTGATGAATCGTCCATTGCACTAGCTGAACTATCTTTTACCCCAGATGAACTGTCCTTTTTGCCTGAAGAATTGTTTTGTTCACCAGATGAATTGTCCTTTCTACCTGTTGAACTGTTCTGTACACATGATTTCTCGTTATTACTAGCATCTGATGAAATCTTATTTACTTTTATCGCGCAAGTCTCCTCATCAGTTTCTTCCCTTGAAGTACATGTAATATTTTTCGACTGAACAAATTTGCCCTTATCTCCCTCACTGTTTAATGATGCTGATGAAACACCAGATAATTCTAACACTTTACTTTGTGTCGGAGTCCCCTCAACAGATGAAGTACCTGCAGTGTTAATAGAGATTTCCACATTACTGTCTGCTTGAGATCCTAAACTCCCCGACCGCTGAGTCTTTTTTACCAATGGCAATGACTTCCGACCCTTTCCTCTTTGTCGAACAAATTTGAAAGCTCTAGCTTCTTCCAGGGCAGCCATCATAGTCTCTAAATTAGGAACAACTTTAGCAATTGGAGGTGAACAAACCATCTCTGTGTCCGAATTCTCAAAGTCAGACACACTGGGGATGTCCCAGGAATCTGAGAGAGTTTCACCAACATCATCTGGGAGACTAGAGCTTGTCCCATCCAAACTTGTCGAACGCTTCATCTCATATTTCTTTTTTATTGGAACCACCAAAGATTCCAATTTGTTTGAAGCAGCTTCTTCCTCTTTAGAACATCCTTCTAAACTATTACTCCTTTTCCGTTTACGTGACTTCTTTGTGTCACTCACAGTTATTTCCCCTTTGTTGATCTCAACCTTCGAAGAATTGGTGTCCTCACTGTTGCTCCTCTTTCGTTTTCTTGTTCGTCTCAATTCTTCTGTCTTCATCTGCAAGTTTGCTGCAGCATCTTCATCCGACTGATCATTTGCTGTCCCTCCCTTTTTTGTTGACTGACTATCCTCTATATTGTCCATCTTCGTCTCTTTCCTTGTTGTTCTAGATCGTGTAGCCACTACAGTTGTTGCCGATTGGTCTGAGCTTTGTGTCTTGCTGGCAGCAAACGATTCTTTTTGAACATCTCCTTTTCTTGTTTTTTCCTGTTGTGATGTCACACGAGACACCTTCTTTGATTCTGGAAGCTTGGTTTCGGTTGTCAGGTCCTCAGTTTTCTCACTTCCAGAACTCAATGTCTTCTTTGGACTTCTAGATCTCAGCGATGGGCCTGTTGTCTTCGACTTAATGGTGTTAAATTTTTTCTGGCTCCGTACTTTTGAAGCTTCTTTATTCAAGTCAATGATGAGTGTACTTGCTGTGCAGTTTCTTGCCTTGGTACCATGTGACCGTATTAGATGGGTGTTGCACTCAGATTTGTTATAACTTGAAAACTTGCAGAGCTTGCATTTATAACGTCGCCAACCTAGATGACGAACCACATGTCGACGTAGATTGGAGAGACAGCTGAATCCCAAACCACATTGCAGACATTTCATTTCCTTCTCGTCACTGAGGTACGATATACGACTTAAGTCGAGACATCTAGTCTGGACAGATTCCTGCGAAGTCCCCATGTTCTTTGGGTCTGTGACGTACATCTGAGTTCTTGTTGTCCGCATCCTTTCTGATGCTCTAGTCGTGTGACCGGACGAAGAAGGAGACGGTCCTTTGGAAGATACCTGAGTAGGACTGCTCTTGTATGTCATCATGGCAAACGCATTAGTTTTGATCTCCTCCGTGGGTAGCCCTGGTTCTTTTTGCACCCATATCTCCTCAAACAACTGTACTTCAGGCTCTGGACTGGCAGATATGAAATCAGAATTTAATTCTTCTATACTTGAATCGTAACTTTCATCTGAATCAGAAAATTTGTCTTCCGAATCGGAAATTTGACTCCTTTCTAAAGCTGTAGATTCTTCAAATTTTGAATCTGATGTTGTGTCAATTGTATTTGAAGCAGAATTTCTATCAGATTCTAAACATTTTGGGATTCTTGGTGTGAATTGGCTCGAAGCTCTCGAGGTACTCTTGCGTGTGTATGGAGTGACGTTGAGGCCAAGAAAGTTTTGATTTTCTGCTTGCTGCAAGGATGAAATGATCATACTGCTGACTTTGACCTCTGTAGGCTTCGGAACATCTTCTGTAGTTTTAGTGGCATCACATTTCATTTTCTGAGCTTTCATAGCCAATCGTGTGGAACGAAAAGTAGACCCTCCATCCACCTCGTCAACTGTCTTACGCGGAGATGGTGGTGAATCCTGAGAACTACTGTCAGATTCATCGTCTTTTCCGGCTGACAATTTTTCACGAATCCTTACACTTCGCTTTTGGAGTTCTAATCCTTCATTCTCGTTTAAACTGGAGTGGTCTCCCTTAGCATGGTGTTCATCCTTTGATTTTCCACTAGCTTTACTAGGGTTTGTTTTCCTTGTTCCTGATGATCTGGTTTCTTTTAAGGGCACATCCTCAGAACTTTTCAGCCCAGAACTCCTGGTGTTTGAACTTTTGTTTATATCTTTTTGTCCTGGAGTGTTTGACAGCGACCTCCTTGTCACCATACTCTGCAGAGTATCGGATTGTTCGGTTTGTTCGGCTTCAGGCTCAGACGATGGCAATTTGTTGGATAGGTTGTTGCTCTCTTTCACACCTGAATGCTTTTCACTTGTACTGTCAGTTTTGGTGTCAAGTTTACCCGATCTTGTAGAAACCCTCTGAACATTTCCATCACTGATTCCTGTGCTTTCCTTATCAGCGACTCCAGGTGTATTTCCACCCAATTTTTGACATGAATCTGGAGGCTCTCTAGCATTTCCTTGCTTTGTTTTCTCTGAGGTAGCATGCTCTATGGTCCCTTTACATACATTATCCTCTTTCAACTTTTCACTTATGTCCGTCTTGTCGGTTTTCATGCCCACACTCGCTCGATTGCTTTTTCGGACAGAGGCTCGGAAAGAGGTCAGATCACCCTTGTTGTCTTGTTCTGGTTCTGTTCCACCTGGGTTCTTTGTTACGTTATCATGCGACACCTGAGACGGTGTGTGTCTCGTACTTATTCTAGCAGAAATACTTTCCTTTGAGCTACATCTACTTGTGTTCTCTGATTTGGAAACATTTCTAGACCTCGTTCTTGATAAACTCCGTTCATTTTCATTTTCTGTACTACTGTCTCTTTTAGCATGCACATCTTTTCCAACAGGAGAATTTTCTCTGTCCTTTTTAGCCAATACTGGACTTGCTTCAACTGTATCCCTAGATCTACTCCTATTTGTAGCAGAATGAGTGAACGCAGATCTAGTACTCACTCTCGAAGAACCATCTTTCAAACTTTCTCTGCTACTGTCCCTACTAACGCCCTCTATTGGAGATTTTTGTCCATCCCTCTTTGAAGTGGGTGTTGTTTGTGATTTAGTTCTATCCTTTGATATTTCCACTGTCTTCTCAACAGACCTTGTGCTTGGTCTAGACAAACTTGTTTCCTTCAAACTTTCTCTACTGCTGTCTCTACTAGCTCTAGTATGCACAGCTTCCGATCCTTCAGATCTGTCATTAGAACCCTCTAAACTACTGTCTCTGCTCTTTGTAGCTAATTTCTGTTCATCAATCCTTCCGTCTTTGCCTGAGGAAATGGACTGCATTGTTTTCCCACTCCCTTCCGACTCATCACTTCCCAAACATTCCCGAGATTTATTCATCTTTTCATTGCATTCACTTTCAAAAGCCAACACCACTTTTACGCCATCTTTTGTCTGAAGGGTTGGACTATCTGATTCTGATCCTGTTTTACTCTGAGGGGATTTATCTGGCCTGATTTGAGATTCGCGTCTTTTGTCATAGAAACGTGTTCTCATATATTGGGTTTCCTTCTCCGAAGACTTCGCCGAATGCCTTGTGACCATCTGAAGTTTTGAGGGTGTATTTGGTGAGCTGCTGTCGGATCGCTTACTAGGGGATGACACAGGGGACTTCTGGTCCTGAGACTTTTCTTTGTGTCTAAATCTGTCAGTGCTCGAAGATTTAGAAAACTCCGAACCATCCCTCGAGTCCTCATGATCATTTTCCATTGCCACATCTTTGTTGTTAGTCCCTCCCCCAGCTTGGTCTTTTTCTGAAACATTCTGTTGCTTTGCTTGTTCAACGATTGGGATCTTTGACCTTGTTCTTGACCTTGCTCTTCTTTCAATAATTTCCAAATTATCCATCACATTTGAAGACGCTATATTGACATCTTTTTCAGTAACCTTTGACCTTGTAGCAGGCCTATTTGGAGAGGTTTCTGTGGTTCTCGATGTTGATTCACCTCTACTTGACTCTGACCTTGACCTAGATGTTGACCTGGATTGGTCAATTTTGTCGGAGGGAGTTACGAGCCATTTACATTGGTTAATGTGTTCATCATAGTTGGATTTCTTCCAGAAAGCTCTCTTGCACCCTTCACACTTATTTAACTTGATTCCAGTAGTTTCACCATCTCTTTGAATCCTTGATGAAGAACCAACTGTCTGGACCAAATTAGAGGTCTGCTTTACAGACGGTTTTTCTTGTTTTGAACCATCTGGATTTTGTCCCAAGGATCCACGAGATTTTGGATCGGAATGTTCTTCCTGCTCTAATTCTGCAGTGTCGAACGCCATTGATTTCAGTTTGTCTCTGATCTTATCAATTTTCTCCTTGCTAAGATTGTGGTTGTTTTGTAGGTGTCGTGTCAGTCCCCAGAAGTAGCTAAACCTTTTCTCGCACATAGAACACGGAAACAGTATCTTTCTCCCTGAATGGATTGAATGCATGTGTTGCAGAAGACCTTTGCGACTGCAATAACTAACGGAGCACAGTAAACACCTGGACAATGCCAGGTCACAATGCCCAAGCAAGCCCAGCTCCGACAGTTCAGAATATTGATGAGATCCGAGCTGACTTTTCACCGGTCTTAACTGAACAAATTTCTTGTTTTTCTGCTCCATTTGTTTCTGTTTACTGAGCATAGTCTTTTCAGGGATTCTGCTGGTTGTTGCTGTTTCCTCGTTGACTATCTTCTGAACATCTGTATTCTTTCTCTTGCTACTTCTTTCTGGAACTTTCCTCTGTTTTAGCTCGCTATCAATAGTCATGTCTCCAGTTACTGAATTTTCCCAGTTCTGAACAATCTTAGGTTCTGCAACACTCTCAGATGATTTTTTCCTGCTGTCAAGAAATCCTGGAGAAACAATGACATTCTGGCCATCAGTAGCTGTGCCACTTTTGGTAACAGTCAAATATGCTGCATTTCTATTGGTTGGAATTGGAGTCATGACAACAGTAGAAACTTCTTTAGATCGTCTCTCCCTTTCCATTTTCTCTGCTGTCTTTGAATAGAAGTTATACTCTGATGATTTCCCCTTGAACTTTCCTGTCAAAAGCTGTTTAAGAGTAGAAGTATCTCCATCACTACTGTCACCTTCTTCTTTCTTTTCACCCTGACCTTGAGCCTTTATTCCTTGACCTTGATTGTGCGGTTGCTCTTGTGCAGACCTCCTTGCACCCATTGACCCCGAGACGTTCACACTGGAGGTGGACTGAGACATCGTCCTCGACTGTGACAAAGAAGACGATGAAAAAACGCTTGACAAAACAGACTTTGCATTGTTAACAGAGCCAGTAGGAATTGCCGTATTAGCTGATTTGGTCGCTGATTGTCTTGCTACAGATGTTGATTGACTGGAGGTTGTCGCTACTGCTGTTGGAGACACGGATCCAGACGTACCGGGAGAGTTGTCCATTGGCTGGACAACGACCACTGATTCCTCTTGACCACTTGATGGAAATAAAGTCTGCTCAGCTTCTGCAGTGCAATAAATTCGTTTGTGAGCAACAAAGTTTGGAATGCTCCTGAAGAGATTACGACATACACGACACTCTACGATGAAGTCACACTCGTTATACATTAGATTGCGGACCTCTGGCGTTCCGTAGTGGACACAGTTCAGTATCTGTTGGACCATCTTATGACCTGCTTCTATCGCCATGGAGATTACAGAGAAGTCTATTTTTGAGATACTATCTTCTTCATCACTTGAGTCCGACATTTTGTGGCTGTTATCTTCACACCTGAAATATACAAATGAACATTTGTCACAAACTAAACATGATTTGGGAGAGCGTGAATGCCTAGAGATTCTGTAGGAAAACTTAACAGTAATACAGTAGATTCAACTGAATACCATGTATCCATTTTCAGGTATAAATATATGATATAAAACAGGACATCAACAGAAAGACTAATTTCAGTGAAAACTACTTGCTGTTTTCATACTGTAATAAGCTGAGAGGGTCACCACAAAACTTGCATTCTTGCCAACTCTCCCTATTTTGGAGAAAGACTCCCAATTGTTGACTCTCAAATTGAGCATTTTCCAACCAGTGAATTTGCTAAACTATACCTATTTTCTAAGATCTGATGATTTCACCTGAGAAAGAGCAGCTCAACAGATACCATTTAAAAGTGTTATTTTTCCTTATGGTGTACACACACACATTTTATTTACGCTTTTAATTCCTAGCAAGTGTAAATTTTTTTTTAATCTCTCCCATGGAAATTTCAAAGTTGGCAAGTATATGAAGTTGGTCTAGTCAGTAGGTGAGTTTCTTGTAGGAAAATGAAATAGAAGTTTAAAGCTTTTGTAATTAACTTTATATCACATATTTCAGAACAAAATAGATACACATTGGCAGAATAAAAAGCTTTATTATAACGACAGAGCAAATGTAAATAACTTTGACCTATAAATCATATTTGTATATTCATTTAATTTTGTCTCCAGTGTAGAGGTCTGGAGCTACATCGGCTCCGGTATTGGAAACTAACTTGAACTTTGACATGGATGAGTTTATTGGAAGGCATTGGCTTATTGCCAGATAAATATGATATGTTAAAATATAAAGTCAAGGTGACTGTTCATGTAACAACATAACGTATCAGATCAGTACGTACAATTCTACTTGTCCGACTCCCGAGCTAGTATTTTTCTTCGCAGGACAAGTAAAAATTTGGTTATACATGTACTATACAAATAGTAATTAACTAGAAGATTTCCCCCTTATTATGGTTTAACACTTTGAATATGAAATTGCACTCCCCAGCAGATTTGTTTAAATTTCTATTTCATACAAGCTCTGTATTGATGAGACTTTGGGCTATTGTTAACCTTTAACTATGAAATCACTGACAAGGCCTTTAAGTCAAGGCCAATAAGATACCATTGGAAATAGTTTCTATGATGGGGTGTCAGTGATATCATTCTAGGTCTGTGATGGGATATCAGTGATATCATGTTAGGTCTGTGATGGGATGTCAGTGACATCATGATAGGTCTGTGATGGGATGTCAGTGACATCATGTTAGGTCTGTATTGAGGAGACTTTGGGCTATTGTTAACCTCTAACTATGAAATCACTGACAAGGCCTTTAAGTCAAGGCCAATAAGATACCATTGGAAATAGTTTCTATGATGGGGTGTCAGTGATATCATTCTAGGTCTGTGATGGGATATCAGTGATATCATGTTAGGTCTGTGATGGGATGTCAGTGATATCATGTTAGGTCTGTGATGGGATGTCAGTGACATCTTGTTAGGTCTGTGATGGGATGTCAGTGACATCATGTTAGGTCTGTGATGGGATGTCAGTGATATCATGTTAGGTCTGTGATGGGATGTCAGTGACATCTTGTTAGGTCTGTGATGGGATGTCAGTGACATCATGTTAGGTCTGTGATGGGATGTCAGTGATATCATGTTAGGTCTGTGATGGGATGTCAGTGACATCTTGTTAGGTCTGTGATGGGATGTCAGTGACATCATGTTAGGTCTGTGATGGGATGTCAGTGATATCATGTTAGGTCTGTGATGGGATGTCAGTGACATCTTGTTAGGTCTGTGATGGGATGTCAGTGACATCATGTTAGGTCTGTGATGGGATGTCAGTGATATCATGTTAGGTCTGTGATGGGATGTCAGTGACATCTTGTTAGGTCTGTGATGGGATGTCAGTGACATCATGTTAGGTCTGTGATGGGATGTCAGTGATATCATGTTAGGTCTGTGATGGGATGTCAGTGACATCTTGTTAGGTCTGTGATGGGATGTCAGTGACATCATGTTAGGTCTGTGATGGGATGTCAGTGATATCATGTTAGGTCTGTGATGGGATGTCAGTGACATCTTGTTAGGTCTGTGATGGGATGTCAGTGACATCATGTTAGGTCTGTGATGGGATGTCAGTGATATCATGTTAGGTCTGTGATGGGATGTCAGTGACATCTTGTTAGGTCTGTGATGGGATGTCAGTGACATCATGTTAGGTCTGTGATGGGATGTCAGTGATATCATGTTAGGTCTGTGATGGGATGTCAGTGACATCTTGTTAGGTCTGTGATGGGATGTCAGTGACATCATGTTAGGTCTGTGATGGGATGTCAGTGATATCATGTTAGGTCTGTGATGGGATGTCAGTGACATCTTGTTAGGTCTGTGATGGGATGTCAGTGACATCATGTTAGGTCTGTGATGGGATGTCAGTGATATCATGTTAGGTCTGTGATGGGATGTCAGTGACATCTTGTTAGGTCTGTGATGGGATGTCAGTGACATCATGTTAGGTCTGTGATGGGATGTCAGTGATATCATGTTAGGTCTGTGATGGGATGTCAGTGACATCTTGTTAGGTCTGTGATGGGATGTCAGTGACATCATGTTAGGTCTGTGATGGGATGTCAGTGATATCATGTTAGGTCTGTGATGGGATGTCAGTGACATCTTGTTAGGTCTGTGATGGGATGTCAGTGACATCATGTTAGGTCTGTGATGGGATGTCAGTGATATCATGTTAGGTCTGTGATGGGATGTCAGTGACATCTTGTTAGGTCTGTGATGGGATGTCAGTGACATCATGTTAGGTCTGTGATGGGATGTCAGTGATATCATGTTAGGTCTGTGATGGGATGTCAGTGACATCTTGTTAGGTCTGTGATGGGATGTCAGTGACATCATGTTAGGTCTGTGATGGGATGTCAGTGATATCATGTTAGGTCTGTGATGGGATGTCAGTGACATCTTGTTAGGTCTGTGATGGGATGTCAGTGACATCATGTTAGGTCTGTGATGGGATGTCAGTGACATCATGTTAGGTCTGTGATGGGATGTCAGTGATATCATGTTAGGTCTGTGATGGGATGTCAGTGACATCTTGTTAGGTCTGTGATGGGATGTCAGTGACATCATGTTAGGTCTGTGATGGGATGTCAGTGATATCATGTTAGGTCTGTGATGGGATGTCAGTGACATCTTGTTAGGTCTGTGATGGGATGTCAGTGACATCATGTTAGGTCTGTGATGGGATGTCAGTGACATCATGTTAGGTCTGTGATGGGATGTCAGTGATATCATGTTAGGTCTGTGATGGGATGTCAGTGACATCTTGTTAGGTCTGTGATGGGATGTCAGTGACATCATGTTAGGTCTGTGATGGGATGTCAGTGATATCATGTTAGGTCTGTGATGGGATGTCAGTGATATCATATTAGGTCTGTGATGGGATGTCAGTGACATCATGTTAGGTCTGTGATGGGATGTCAGTGATATCATGTTAGGTCTGTGATGGGATGTCAGTGATATCAGGATAGGTCTATGATGGGATGTCAGTGACATCTTGTAAGGTCTGTGATGGGATGTCAGTGACATCATGTTAGGTCTGTGATGGGTTGCATTAATTGTCACAGATATTAGGATAAGAAGTTTTCTCAATGGGATTTCAGAGATATCAGCATATGTAGTTTCTATAATGGGATGTCAGTGACATCATATTAGGTGTGTGATGGGATGTCAGTGATATCATGTTATGTCTGTGATGGGATGTCAGTGATATCAGGATAGGTCTATAATGGGATGTCAGTGACATCATATTAGGTCTGTGATGGGATGTCAGTGACATCCTGTTAGGTCTGTGATGGAATGTCAGTGATATCATGTTAGGTCTGTGATAGGATGTCAGTGATATCAGGAAAGGTCTATTAAATGGGATGTCAGTGACATCTTGTTAGGTCTATTATGGGATGTCAGTGATATCCTGTTAGGTCTGTGATGGAATGTCAGTAATATCATGTTAGATCTGTGATGGGATGTCAGTGATATCAGTATAGGTAGTTTTTATAATGGGATGTCAGTGACATCATATTAGGTCTGTGATGTGTTGTCACAGATATAAGGGTAGGTAGTTTCTATAACGGAATGTCAGTGACATCATGTTAGGTCTATCTGTGATGGGATGTCACAGATATTAGGATAAGAAGTTTCTTTGATGGGAGTTCAGAGAGTAATCAGCATATATGTAGTTTCTGTGCTGGGTTGTCAGAGATATCATGATAGGTAGTTTTTGTGATGATGTACCATTATCTGATATACATGAGAGTTGTCCACACGTTTCTCATATGGGATGTCAAGTAGCTATTGATCCAAACACTAGTGTATGGGAGTTATAAATCATTAACGTACATGCCAGTTATACTTTTCAATATTCAGTAAATTGAAGATATGCCACAACGTGTTGTCTTGATTATGATGCTATTATAATACACCGTTCAGAACAGTCATTAGTTATGCTACTTATTCGTGCGAACAGGTGCACGTTCGTTATGATCAGCGCGTGCAGAAATAAACATCATCTGAACTTCATCGTATTTCAATGTTATGAACACTGAATCGATCATGTTTATATGTTGAATCACGCCAAAGACAGTTACTGGAGTTATCATAATGTAAATCAACATAAACAACAATGCTGATATATTCACTAATATTGATAATTAAAATGTGTAGTGCCCCTTCGGGAACTCGGGAAGCTATGGATGTGCCAGCACAATTCAGTCGAGGGAACATAAGCATTTAGTAAATTTTAACAGAATATTCTCACAAATTTTGCTATAAGCGGGTGTATGAATGCATAAAGCAATAGTTACCATTAAAAAATTGGAGTGTTGAGGCATTAAAAGCTCAAAATTCGACTTTTGGTGGTTTTCCAATGCGTGCTTCTCTCGCCACCGAGAATTTGATCCTATGACGAATTACAAAGGATTGTGGGAAGTTTCACATCCGGCGAGAAACCGTGGTAATGTTAAGAGAAGGTAAACATATTCGCGTTTTGTGTTTTCGTCAGGTCTTAAACTTATACGTTACTTCAAATCGATATTAGATACTTTTTTGGAACTCATACGGATCTTAATTTAGTTTACGACCCCTACTTAAAACGACTTCCTTGTTGATGGACAAGCATCCGCAAGATCACCCGAGCTGTCAACGTGACAACAGACGACAGATTTATTTTACGCAAATCCTCATGAGGAGAGACATAAGGTTGTTTAAGTCATCAGATTGATATGTTTTTGCGGCAAATCATTTCAGTTATATCAATTAATAAATGATAAAATTGTAGCTATGTTGTATAAATTAATACATATTGCCTAAATGTTTTTATCTCTGCATCTCTGTAAGTTTGGAAAGGGGAGATAATTTTCACAACAAAATCAATGGCAATGGAAATGATATCTTCAACCACGGAATTAGATTATCTAAGTCCGTGCTACAACTAGAGATACTAATTAAAAATCTAGAGTCGAAATCCTGTATTTGTGATTTTTTAAACAACATCTACTTGGCCAGTGTTATGGCCTACAAAAATGCAATTACTCTATGAAAAGAGATCAAGCTTAATATTTTAGAGGCCTGATCATGAGGATATACCCTAGTGAGGCATTAGTCATGTTATAATTACTCAATATACTAGATGTAACAGGAGAAGAAAAATACACGGCCAGTCTAGGATTCAAACACCAGACCTTAAGAATTCTAGACGGATGCCCTTAAACCACTTGTCACCTGGACATCGGAGATTGCGTGACCAAGTCCCTTTGCTAACTTAATTCCCCCCTTCTTCAACAAAGTCTTAATTGACCCCAAAGACACATGAGACCCTATACATGTACCACCTTCCATGGGTATATATTTCAAATTTATTGGGCACCAAATGCAACTGGGGAAGAATGCACATGCAGCCAGACTAAGATTTGAACCTGGGACCCTCCAAACTTAGATGGACGCTTAGCACTCTACCTATATATATAATTGCCTTCGATTGACCCAGTCATGATCAGCTTTTGCTAACATTAGTGTCGGTGCAGGTTAAATTTTAGCCCACTATCATCAGGTAGCCTATGATCCCTCGTTACACATATCAAATTTTGGGACTGATGAGAAAACCAAGATGACCAGCTGGTGGCCATCTTGAATTTTGAGAGTTAAAGTTTGTCAGCACTATATTTCTCAGAAAGTACCCCATTGTCTCTATTAATGCATATGATTGGTACTAATCAGAAAACCAAGGCCGTTTTCATTTTAACGGTCAAACCGGTCGTACCACTGTTGTTCGTTAATTGAAAAAGGCCAGACCTAGTAATCTGATGCTGCTTTAAGGCGAGCCTTGACAAAGCCTTGCAAAGCTTGCATAAACATTTGCAGGTTCACCAGGATTTATACTCGAAATTATTACATTTATGAACGGTCAAACCGGTTGTTCCGCATAAACGAACAGGCCCCAAGATGGCTGACAGACAGCCATCCTGAATGTTGTGAGTTGGAGTTGGTTAGCACGATTCTCAGAAAGGACTGGAGAAATCTTTCTCAAGAGATTTCACATACAGGTTTTCCCATGGTTGGTAGTTATGCATATTGAAATTTAAGACTGATCGAGAGTCCAAGATGGCTGACAGGTGACCCTCTTGAAATTTTTAAGAGTTAAAGTTTGCTAGAGTTATTTCTCAGAAAATACTGGGAGGATCCTTTTCAAATTTCACAATATAAGGTTTCCTATGGTCCCTGCCTACATTGTATGTATATTTGAATATTTGGACTGATCGTAAAAACAGGATTGCCATCAGAATTTTGACCGTTCAATTTTGTTATCACTATTTTATGTGTATATTATATGTTGCCCATTGTTAAATGTCCCTTATGAGAATTCATTCGTCATTAACAGCACTTCTTATTAAACCTTCATTTGAGGGTTTCTGGGAACACTGCAAATGTCATCCTATCTGAAGTATTTCAATTTCCAACTGCAAGAGTACTTGAACTGAATTAAAGTTCAAGTAGTTTCGGATAAATTTGTAACAATCTCTGTTAATGCTAGAACTTGTTTAAATCCTTTCACCACTGTAGACTAAAATAGATTCATCCAGGTTAATGCATGGTAGAGTCTTATGAAGTTATATAGGGGTAAAAGGGTTAAATTGCATTCCAGTTAGATACCATAACCTCAACATTTAACGTAAATCTAATAATTGCATTTAAGGATGAGGTGCTGTTATCTTCTACATATATTTATAGTTATATGATGTATTTTTGTTTTTGCAGATACACATCCTTTCCTCAGAAGAGAATTTGAATATGTTCCTGTACCCAAACGGAGCTCCTGTTTACAATGATACAGCCCAACGGCAAGAGTAGTTTTGAAATTCATGTGTACAGACTAAAAGCAACCACATATATATACACACTTTGTATGTAAATTGTTAAGTAGATGCCATGACTCATCCTAATTATGACCCAAAAACTTACCGCAGACCAGCTGTCAAATCAGCAGCTTCGTCCCATGATGGGGACTACTGGACGGTTGACAAACCTAACAGAGGTGGTGCCCTCTGTAGGCCAAAGACGGAAACACAGTTTAAGCCATCATACAGTGTAGACTGGGAGATTTTCTGTCCCATTGGTCCTCAACTGGCATTTCATGTTGGATGTGCTGTGGGTAAGATTTTGTTTGAGTTGAATGGTCCATCGACAACTATGGTCATTGATTAGGGCCAGAAAAATAAAATCTGTTAGTATGGGGCAACCATTTGAGGAATCAAAATTAAAATCATTTAAAACGTCCTATATCTTATAAAACCAGGATATAGGCTTAGAGAGGTAAAATAGTAAAAGGGTGTAAAATATGAAACTTTAGTTAAAAATATTGTGTAAAAATTGAAATGGAAAGAGATAGGTATAAATGCTGTAAAAAAGAGTAATGTAAGTTAATGGAATCACAGTTTATAAAACTGACCAATGTCTTTTATTAGTTGAATAACAACTCAAATTCTACGTAAGTGAAAAGGGTTTTTAAGAAATTTTAACTAAAATGTTCTAAATGTTCTCATCTGAAAAGTTATAGAGTTCGATTTTCATCTACTGTTTCAAGTCAAACGGTGAATTCTTGACCAAAAGGTAAGTTGTATTTCATTAACTTATTCATCCCTGATACTCATTTGAACTCTTCCAATTCAAAGGTTGGAATAGTTCATTTTGAAATTTCAGGGTTGAATTAGATAATTGATATTTGAGTAAATATAGTCCATAAGGACATGAAATTCCTGACACCTTATAGGCACAGAACATTTATGATACCATTACATATTTTGTAGGCTCTGATCATGAACGGGCATCTTATTTTAGAAGTACACATATAATATGAAAAGAACTGTTATATTAGGTGCTTGAACTGCCATTTTATTTACTTTATTATATATGTTGCCTATGTGATTTTTTATCTCACCCCAAAAAGTTGCCTAAAAGTATCAATGGAAATCAAATCTATATTTATAAGTAAAATGCTAAGAGTCAAAATCCTTTATCTGAGGTTTTCTTTAAGCATAACAACTAGTTTGATCAATGTTATACAATTACTCTATTAAATAAGAAAGCTTTATACTTTTAGAGGTCTTAGGGGCTACCCAGGTTATAAATACGCAATATCCTAATGTAACAAGACAGGAAAAATGATTTGAACTTGACAAAATGATTTATATAATTATATTATTTTCTCTTGGAAAATGCAGGTTTGAGGTAAAACGTAGGATTGTGTGATATTGTTCCCCCATCATTGTTGCTATCTTTTGGCTGGCTGCTGTACAGTTTAAAAGTACTTCAATTTCGTGATATGTATATTTTTGCGAATTCAAATATCTTGCCAATAATCAATGTTTATTTAAAACTCGGTAATTAACTTTATGTTATAGGGGACACACTTTACCTACATGGAGGTGTAAGTTCCTTTGGTTCTCTGACCCCGTCAAACAAACTATACAGCCTCAATATCAACTCCATGATATGGAATGAGGTCAGGGTGGAAGGAGGCCCAGCTCTGAGTCATCATGCTTGCATTACTTTGGACGACAGATTCTTACTTCTTATTGGTGGATGGAACGGTAAGGGCAGGACATCATCCGTAATTGCTTTCGACACGGAACAGAAAGTCTGGTTGTATCCGAAAGTTTCCGGATTTCCGGAAGATGCTGGCCTCAGCTCGCATACTGCCTCTCTTTTGAGTGATGGAAAGATTTTGGTGTTAGGGAGGGAAGGAACCCTTAGAAGTCAACGGAAGGATCGCCTCAGTGGCAATGCGTATATGCTGTCAGGGAGTCTAGCTGTTGGTGAATTCGTTTTCACCGAGTATAGTCATAACACTGAATCTCGATCTGGACATACAACTTGCTTCATTGGACCAAAGTTATATATAATGGGTGGTCGAAACGATAACTTCCTGGAAGTCCACAGCGGCTACAAAAGTGGAAAATATGATAGCGACAAAGAAGCAATTGATACCGTTGTCAAGGTGGCAAAGACTCTTAAACCCATGGCAAAACTTCCTCATGGGAGAAGACACCATGTGGCTCTCGAAGGCTCAAAAGGAGTATTGATCCATGGAGGGGAAAAATTTGACGGACCTCCGAATAGACACCCTGCTGGAGAAATGTACATCATGACGGACAGTAAACTTTCTGGCGTAAATTTTTACCTGCTTGGTGTGAGCCGAGAAGGCAGGGCAGGGCATGTGATGTGTGTGTGTAGAAATCAGATCCTTTTACACGGTGGGCTTGGCGATCGTAGGCTAGTTCATGGCGACACCAGAGTACTCCGTGTCAGCTGATGAACCATGTAACTTAGTTTTATACAATAGGGCTGCAATGATATATCGTGTGACAATACGGTATGATACACAATATGTTTTGGGAGGTCACCATTCTCCTACGATATTTTTCAAATTTTGGCGTTTCTGAATTTAGTCTACTTGTATACCTTCCAAAATGGCGAGTGACAGCTCCAGCTCGGCTTGCACGCCGCAAGACATGAATTGTGTGAAACTAAAGTCATGCCCATTTTGGACCAAGTCTATTTCCAGTTGTAGTATTGCCATTGGCATTGAAAATTTGCAACATATCTTTTTCGCTTTATTTCTGCTGTTACTATATATGTATTGTGATACATATTGTATCGTGACCACAGTATCTTGATACGTATTGTATCGTCATGTTAATGTATCGTTGCAGCCCTGTTATATAAACCTCCCATCAGATTGTAATCTTTTTGGGCCTGTATTTATGAAACAGTTCTCATGCTCAAACTCAGATTTGGTACTCAAGCCTAAAGTATTGTAATGATCTATTCAGGCCTGTATTCATGAAACAGTTCTCATGCTCAAACTCTGATTTTGTACTCAAGCCCAAAGTATTGTAACAATCTATTCAGGCCTGTATTCATGAAACAGTTCTCATGCTCAAACTCTGATTTGGTGCTCAAGCCCAATTTCTAATTCTTGTGATAATTATATATAAAGTAATATAAACTTACATGTTGTCAATGACTTGGGAAGAATTTTTAAGAGACTTAACCCTTTCACCACTGTAGACCATAATGGACTCATTCATATCAATGCATGGTAGAGTCTATTATAATTACATAGGGGTGAAAGGGTTAATAAACTTATAGCCAGATGGCATTGTCATTGTCTAGACTTGACATTTTGACTACCGCGATCACACGTTTTATGCAAGTTGCAAGAAAGTTGGTTTGAGCACAGAATCCATGCTTGAGCATGAGAACAGTTTCATGAATACAGGACCGATGAATTGGCTAACAGTGAAAGGATTAGGAACTATTCAGTTGATGTATCTCTCAAGATTTGTAACATTTCCCTGTTTTAATACTACTGAACAGCATTTGCTGTGTGATGTGCCATATGATAGTTGACAGATTATACTCTTTCACCCCTAGGTAACTTTAGTAGACTCTACCATACATTTATCTGGGTGAGTCCATTAATGTGGTCGACTGTCAATAAGGGTTAAGAGCAGTTCCAAATTTAAAGTCCATTGTGTATCAAATCAAAATGAAAGTCACACCTCGTTCATCTTGACAGTTTGGTTCATGGAGTAAATTAATATATATGACTTGCATTTCTTTGATATCTAATTATGAGGTATATAGAGGGTGGCTATCATGTTTATCTAATTTGAGTTAATTAATTTTCAAATTGTATAAAGACACAAAGTTTACAGAGTGTCTTTTAACAGATTATTGACAGTCATGACATTGCTATATAAATGTCATCATCAGGTAGTGCCTGAATACAAATAATGTGTCTCTAGTACGAGATGGTCACTGTAGGAATACAAGATTGACTATTGAAAATAATTTTAAAGTACCAAAACATAGAACTGTTTTTTATTCCAGACACTTTTTTATTGATAGTATTAACGACTGGAATGTTTTACCCAGTGACCTAAAGAAAATAGACAATTTTACCACTTTCAAACGAAAACTTACTAAATATTGTATATCAATGTCTTACATTTTAACTTGTTTCTCCATGTAACCAAAACTTGTTACTTTCTAAATAGACTTCTTATCTAAATTATATTAATATTTTAGATTATGCTATATTAGCATATAACTATGTCAATTTTTATTGTTTGCTATATTAGCATGTATGTATATTAGGCACATGCCATTTAATTGATGAAATACCTTTGCACGAAACTTTATGCATTCTGTGATACTCTAAACTAAGATAACCGTGATATAACCTTATATATGTCGATTGCATCAATATATATATGTAACTTTGAACTAGCACATGTATTTTACTAGCAAGATTACCATGTTTATTTATATATCGATTGCGTAATTATGTTATTTTATCTAAAACATGTATTTTACTTACAAGAGGACCATGTGGAAGATTAGCCTTTGGCTAAACATGTATTTTATCCTCAATAAATAAAGTTTATTATTATTATTATTATTTACAATGTGAAAATTAACTAATTAGATTATACCTAAGATCAGGTGATAACTAGCTAATCATCACGAGTTTGGGGAACTGTTTCTCCCATAACGTTAATATTTTATCTGAAAAAGACAAATTTCCCTTGGAAAATACAGTATGTGTGTTTCCGATGGGGAAAACAATTGCCATGGAGCATGACGTCACAATGGAGATGACGTAGAAAAACATTGTTACGTGACGTCATAAATAAAAGATTGACCAATGAAATCACGTCCAGGGTGTTACACACTAGAAAAAAAACACAAAGGTGACCTCTAGGTCACGTATCATGAGTTTTTATCTGTGAACATTTTATCAATAGTCTTTATTATAGTTTCACAGTCCAAGACAAAATTTCTGGACAAGAAAACATTTTCAAAAGGAAAACAATCATCTGTTTTCTCCTAAAAGTCTTCAAGATATACAATCTAGAATGCAAATATGTGATTTTTTTTATGAATGAGTATATAGTAATATTAGTAATGTTTTGTTGTTGTAGATCTAGAGTAGTATGAGCGTTGGGATTGTGAGTTTCACAGAGTAAAGGGGCATGGTTTGATAAAGACATAATGGATAAACATGTATTGTGAAATAATTGCCACAAATCTTATCAGGAAAACTTGTATCACGTGTCTGAAAAACAATTCTTATATATTACATTTTAAAGCAAATAATTCCCTTTACAAATGTTTAAGTGGATTGTATTTTACAAAATGACTTTCATTCTATGAAATATTGTTTGTCCTGTGATATATTTTATACAACATTTCCATGTGGTTAATATAGTTTTTTAATGTTTTGTTTTCTTTTTGTTTCTAACAAGGTTATACAGTCAGTATTTTATCTCTGACATAGTGATTCCCATTATTTTACGGTTTGTGAAAATTTGTTAAAATAGTGCTAAGGAAATGCATTACTGGGAATTTATTTACTGAATTTTATAGATACACTACATACATATATGCATCTTTGTTAGCCAAGGGTTACGATATGGTCCGATACGGTCTACCTACTCTTCACAGCAGAGAGTAGATAGACCGGATCGTACCAGATTATAACACTTGGTTAGCGACGATGATATATATGATGTATTACAAACACTGCACATCTTGTGATATATGTAGACTATGTTAGCTTTATAAAAAGGTTTCACAATACTGTATACCAGGAAACCTTTGCTCAGTAAAATAGTCTCCCTTCACCAATAAAATTGATATTCTTCCCATGTTAATTCATTCACCGCTGAAATTTCATAATGAACTATTCCAACCTTTGAATTGGAAGAGTTCAAATGTGTCTTCAGGGGTAAATGAGTTAATTTTGCCCTTCACATGTAATTCCTATATAGGGTATGCAGTGTACTAATCTTTGCTGTTTATCAATCGCCTTCATTGTTGTGGGTAAAAAAGATGGAAATTAAACTGTTTAAAATTGCCTGGTTTAATGTAGTGATTTTTCAAAAACCTATATTTTACAACAGCCTGTTCCCACATGGAATGGGGAAAAAAGGGTTATTTTTACTGCAATCGAGAAAGTATATCTGATTTTTTCTTCACTTTGGGAAAATAAAGCACTTTTTAGCCAGGGGGAAACAACATGTATTCGGCTGTAAAACTATGCAAAACAAATCACTGAATACAGTATATATCAAGGAGTATGTATAAACAAATTGTGAAGAAAATGGAAAGGGGATCATTGAAAAAGGTTGGTGGTACAGTAAAAAATTGGTAAATGAAATGTCATTTATTTTAAAGGAAGTTCTTTGTGATTTTTTGCACTCTGTAACAAACAAACATAACCAAACACAATCTACCTAATGTTATTCTTTATTTACACTGATCATAATAAATTCACCTTATCAATACCCATTATGTTTCCAATACCTGTTTTAGGTTCGTCATACGTATACAATTGTACCTAGCCAGTGATAAATTTCTCCCACTCTTGTTATACACGTAGGTTTCATCTCTCCAAGTCAGTACTTTTTGCGGTTCATTTCTCCTGTACCTTGTCCTGTTATAGGTTTTCTTACTCCTAGCTAGAGCCAATGGTTCAGTTTGTTCTGTACTTGCCAACCTCTACAGGCTAGAAGCTAGAGTCAATGGTTCAGTTTGTTCTGTACTTGCCAACCTCTGCAGGCTAGAAGCTAAAGTCAATGGTTCAGTTTGTTCTGTACTTGCCAACCTCTGCAAGCTAGAAGCTAGAGCCAATGGCTCAGTTTGTTCTGTACTTGCCAACCTCTGCAGTCTAGAAGCTAGAGTCAATGGTTCAGTTTGTTCTGTTTTTGCCAACCTCTGCAGGCTAGAAGCTAAAGTCAATGGTTCAGTTTGTTCTGTTTTTGCCAACCTCTGCAGGCTAGAAGCTAGAGTCAGTGGTTCAGTTTGTTCTGTACTTGCCAACCTCTGCAGGCCAGAAGCTAGAGTCAATGGTTCAGGTTCTTCTGTACTTGCCGACTCTGCAGGCTAGAAGCTAGAGTCAATGGTTCAGTTTCTCCTGTACTTGCCAACCTCTGCAGGCTAGAAGCTAAAGTCAATGGTTCAGTTTGTTCTGTTTTTGCCAACCTCTGCAGGCTAGAAGCTAGAGCCAATGGCTCAGTTTGTTCTGTACTTGCCAACCTCTGCAGGCTAGAAGCTTGAGTCAATGGTTCAGTTTCTTCTGTACTTCCCAACCTCTGCAGGCTAGAAGCTAGAGTCAATGGCTCAGTTTCTTCTGTACTTGCCAACCTCTGCAGGCAAGAACCTAGAGCCAATGGTTCAGTTTGTTCTGTACTTGCCAATCTCTGCAGGCTAGAAGCTAGAGCCAATGGTTCAGTTTCTTCTGTATTAGCCAACCTCTGCAGGCTAGAAGCTAGAGTCAATGGTTCAGGTTGTTCTGTACTTGCCAACCTCTGCAGGCTAGAAGCTTGAGTCAATGGTTCAGTTTCTTCTGTACTTCCCAACCTCTGCAGGCTAGAAGCTAGAGTCAATGGGTCAGTTTCTTCTGTACTTGCCAACCTCTGCAGGCTAGAAGCTTGAGTCAATGGTTCAGTTTCTTCTGTTCTTCCCAACCTCTGCAGGCTAGAAGCTAGAGTCAATGGTTCAGTTTGTTCTGTTTTTGCCAACCTCTGCAGGCTAGAAGCTAGAGCCAATGGCTCAGTTTGTTCTGTACTTGCCAACCTCAGCAGGCTAGAAGCTAGAGTCGATGGTTCAGTTTGTTCTGTACTTGCCAACCTCTGCAGGCCAGAAGCTAGAGTCAATGGTTCAGTTTCTTCTGTACTTGCTAACCTCTGCAGGCAAGAAGCTTGAGTCAATGGTTCAGTTTCTTCTGTATTTGCCAACCTCTGCAGGCTAGAAGCTAGAGTCATTGGTTCAGTTTCTTCTGTCCTTGCCAACCTCTGCAGGCTAGAAGCTAGAGTCGATGGTTCAGTTTGTTCTGTACTTGCCAACCTCTACAGGCTAGAAGCTAGAGTCAATGGTTCAGTTTGTTCTGTTTTTGCCAACCTCTGCAGGCTAGAAGCTAGAGCCAATGGTTCAGTTTGTTTTGTACTTGCCAACCTCTGCAGGCTAGAAGCTAGTGTCAATGGTTCAGTTTGTTCTGTACTTGCCAACCTATGCAGGCTAGAAGCTAGAGCCAATGGTTCAGTTTGTTTTGTACTTGCCAACCTCTTCAGGCTAGAAGCTAGAGTCAATGGTTCAGTTTGTTCTGTGCTTGCCAACCTCTGCAGGCTAGAAGCTAGAGTCGATGGTTCAGTTTGTTCTGTACTTGCCAACCTCTGCAAGCTAGAAGCTAGAGCCAATGGCTCAGTTTGTTCTGTACTTGCCAACCTCTGCAGTCTAGAAGCTAGAGTCAATGGTTCAGTTTGTTCTGTGCTTGCCAACCTCTGCAGGCTAGAAGCTAGAGCCAATGGTTCAGTTTCTTCTGTATTTGCCAACCTCTGCAGGCTAGAAGCTAGAGTCAATGGTTCAGTTTCTTCTGTACTTGCCAACCTCTGCAGGCAAGAACCTAGAGCCAATGGTTCAGTTTGTTCTGTACTTGCCAACCTCTGCAGGCTAGAAGTAAGATTGGCCAACTGTATCCCACTGCATGTCCTAAAAGGATGACTAATGTGGGTCTCTTTGTAGAATTGGATGTTTTCTTCTTTGCGTTCTGCTTACTGGACATTAAAGAAACCAAAGTAGATCTGCTGCCCCATTGCAACATTTGGTATCCTTGTATTTTCTCTCTACTTCTTTACAATCTTTCTAGTGCCTTGTTGGCAATACCTCGCTGTTTGGTTTTAGTGTTGAAGGCTTGCCCAAGTGAGGAAGGAAATGGGTTCTGTCCCCTTCCTTGGAAAACCAAAGTCTTCTAAGATAGAGGTTATAATTACCGGTTATACACATATCAATGGTGGATGCATGTCCTTAAATGACCTAAGCAGTTAATAGAGTGTTAAATAAAATAAAACCAAACCAGTACCTGTTCAATGTATGGTCACTTCTAGCCAGTTGTTTATTTCTCTCACACAGGTTACAGATACCTGATTCAAAGCCAGTTGTTAGCTCACCTGGCCAGTGGTGCGTCTGTCCATTGTCTGTCTGTCTGTCTGTCGCCCGGCATCAATATTTTACTTTAAACAACTTCTTCTTAATAACCAAAAGGCCTTAGGTGATAATATTTGGCCAGAAGCAAACTTGGATGAAGGGCTACCAAGTTTGTTCAAACAATCACCTTCACCAATTTTCAAGGTCAAATATGTTAAAAGAACTTAAAACAGCTTCTTTGAATAACCAAAATGCCCAGGGTGATGATATTTGGCCAGGAGCAGGCTGGGATGAAGGGCTACAAGGTTTGTTTAAATGAATGACCTTGACCTTTATTTAAGGTCACAGGGATTAATTGGTTTGAAAACCCTTTCATCAACTTCTTCTGAATAACCAAAAGGTCCAGGGTGATGGTATTTGGCCAGAAACATGCTGGTCGAATCAATGACCTTGACCTATATTGAAGGTCACAGGGGTCAAATATGTTTAAGATCTTTTAGCATGCTTTGATGAAGGGCTACCAAGTTTGTTGAAATGAATGACTTTGGTTTATATTTCAAGGTCACAGGGGTCAAATATGTTTGAAATCTTAGAAGGATTTCTTCTGAAAAACAAAAAAGCCCAGGATGATGATATTTAGCCAGTATATGCTGGCATGCAGCGCTACCAAGTTTGTTAAAATTAATTATCTTGACCTTAATTCAAGGTCACAGGGGTCAAATATTTTCACAATCTTTAAACGACCTCTTCTGAGTTACCATAATGCCCAGAATGTTGGTATCTGGCCAGTAGCATGCTAGGATGAAGCGCTACCATACCAAATTCGTTAAAATGAATGACCTTGACTTATATTCAAGGTCACAGGATATTTGGCCAGTAGCATGCTTGTTTGACAGGCTATCAAGGTTTTTCATTTGAATGTCCTTGTCCCACTTTCAAGGTCACATTTGTTCAAATATGTATAAACCTTTAAATGACCTAATCTTAATAAAAAAAATGTCTAGGTTAGTGATATTTGGCGAGTTGCATGCTGAGATGAAGGGCTTTAAAGTTTGTTCAACGTAAGGACCTTGTTTGACTTTCAAGGTCACAGGGGGCAAATGTTTTTAATTTTTTTAACAGGTTCTTTTGAATGACTTTTAGTCATAAATACCTGATATTTTGCCTGTAGCTTTATTTTCGAACACTTTTAAGGCTACAAGTGTGAGATTAGTACCAGGTGAGCGATGCAGGCCCATTAGGCATCTTGTTTATTTCTTGCACACATGTACCTGTCTAGGTTAGAATCCTGGTCTTGTCATGTATTTCTCTTTCTCCTATCACATTTGACACACTATGACATATACCCACAGAAGGAGGTATCGGGTCTCGTGTGTCTGTAGGGTCAAAGACTTGGGTAATGAAAGGAGCAATGTAGCAGAATTGGACTTGGTTGGTTGCTGGTGATCAGGTCGCTTAATTGATTAGAGCGTCTGTGAGTTTGGTGGGTCCTGGGTTTGAATCCCAGTTTGACTGTGCATTTTTCTCCCATGTAACAGCTACAATGTATATTGATACCACTTTATAGAGTTGCCACACCTTGCATACTAATTACATGCGAGGTAAAATGCTTAAACGAAAAAGGGAAAGGAAATGGCTGCCAGGAAGATATAGTGAATTTTTTAATTGAATTTGGTTTCTGCTATTTCTCAAGAACTGCATGTGTTAAGGTCCTGATGAAACTGGAGGTACATGATCCCTAGTTTTCACTGCTTTAATGTGACTGCCTTGGGGCCAGTGCACAAGTCGGATCCAAGGTGAGCATGTTTAACTCATTCAGCCCTCCATATCTAATCTTGACTTGCCCAGTCTGTGATTTGGCAAGGTTCAAACGTGACTTTAGGGTGAATTGGGCTGAAAAAAATGTGGAAGATCTGTCCAACACTTTCTGAGAAATAGCTGTTTTGGACAGAAGGTCCACAGACAAACGCTCACCAAATACCATAAAAACTTTTTAGAGTAAATTTCAGGCATGTTGAAAGCCCAAGGATTTATTAATGTTTTGTTTTGTATTATGTCATTGTTCAAATGTCTACTCTGATCATGTGTTAAATACGTGTAATCGTGTAACATCTTGTAGATGATTATCTTTTTATAGTAGTGGTAGGTTATGTTTAACTGCAAAACTGACAGGTCAACAAGGGCCCTTTTAAAACTCTTTCCACAGATCTACATACCACATGTTTCACCTCGTCAAATTTCCAACAAATTAGTCTTTTGGTTTTGGAGATAAGGACTCAACTCCCTTTCAATGATCTATTTTTAGTAACAGTTACCTTAACTTAGGAAACTTTATAAATCCTATTTGACATCTACAAATCACAGTGTATCACCATGATCATGTCAATTTTCGAAATATTTTATTTTGAATTTTGAGAATATCTCCGAAAAACGAAACTATGGACGGACAGAAGGGAAGGCAGATGGACATTTCGATTGTTATAGAGCACATACATCTCTGATGTGAGGTTCATATAAGTTCATGAACAACACTATAGCAGTATAAATAGTTAAAATATGTTTTATTAAAGCATTTTACAAAAGGAAGTGTATATATCAGTACAAAAATAACAGTATACTTCCGTAGCACAGAAACGCATTGCATAATTTGATTTATATACAACAAAAAGATGGACAAGAGGAATGTTTATAAAACGTTATATATCCATATCTCTAAAAAAGTCATTTGAAAAAATACAGATATATTCAATATTGACCAGCAATATTGTATGAATTTAAAACCATCATTTAAGATGTTTGAATTATAAACCATCCTTTAAGATTTACATGTAGATATGTATTATAATAAGGCAGATGAAAAGGAGTCAACTACTCAAAACTGATACATATATGTATTAATATTACAAGCTATTTGGATGAAGACAATGTCATAATTTGATTATACAATATTGAGGATATGTTTGCGAAAACATAACCCTATACCAGGAAACCTCCGCCCAGTCAAATTTTCGCCCTTCACTGGTAGAATCTGTTTTCATGCAGTGTTAATTTTGTCATTAACCTGTTATTCCTATGTACAGAATGTTGTGTACTGGCTTTCAACACAGTAATTTGCCCTCATTGCAAAGGGCGAAAAAGGCGGAGGTTAAACTGCAGCGAAAATATCCTGGTATACAGTTTATAAGAAACATTGTGAAAGTTAAATTATTGAAACTTATTGACCTCCAATACTTGAATTACTAATGATATTGTTTATAAAGAATCATATTACCAAATGTATATTTCAGGCTGTACTGGGAACAGTCCAAAGATTAATCTCCCTTGACAATATTTGATCAAACACAAACATTAATCTGCCTCCCTCAGCTGTTCAGGTAATGCTTAGAAGCTAGTGATAGTGTAAAAGACAATTTTGACGGCTTTGACTGAGGATACCTTGGGGTTATCATCACATTATGGCTTTCATTATGACAGTAATTTAAAAAAAAAAAAATCCACGATGTGAACTTCAACAAGGACTGAGGAGCATTGGACATTAACTCACTCACCCCTACATATTTAAACTGGCCTTGCCCAGTCTTTGATTTGGTAAGGTTCAACTGCGACTCTAGGGGTGAATGGGTTAAGAACGATATTTGTCAAAACAAGCATGAGGGGCATTCAATATAATGTAAGAAAAAACTTCAGCATGTTATAGGATGGTTTATTTTACCACATTAAAAAAATAAAATGATAATAAAAACACCCACAAATTTATCTTTAACATTATTTACCAGTAAATTAATCTGACCAGAATGTCCCACAGGTTGTCAGATTAGCGAGGTCAATCAGCCCAGCATGTCCCACAGGTAGTCAGATTAGACAGGTCAATCTGACCATCATGTCCCAAAGGTTGTCAGATGAGACAGGTTCCATTCTAATGGTATAAAAAAATAAAACAATTGCAAAGACATTTGCATAACAATTATAGACTATATCTTTCTATACCTATAATGCTTAATTAAATCAACTGTCATTAACAAATCTGACAACTGAAATGCACTTTAACAGGTCAGAACTTCATGATTTTGTTCTCAATATCTAATTAAAAGACAAAACAGAAGAAAATTTAACAAAATATGATATATACTTTAAACATACTCATGTAAGTCTGATTAAAATTTGGCACAAAACACTATATATACAAATTACTTCCTAAATCATTAATTAGCGAATGAACCAGTGACAGATATAGGATTTCTGAAAGGAGGGGGCCACCTACCAAAAGTAACCAAACACCCTCTTATCCAGGTATTTCATCTGCTATACATTGTAGCAGCATCACCCTGTTAACTCAGAGATACCTGGTGGTTCATGTATGAGGTTTTTTAGGGTCACTGAGTCATTTATATATATGTAACAGAGGTAATTATTTTGTCAATGTCCTTGTAAGGGATTGACTGTTGAACTTCTGGTTTACTTTTTCTCATTGCTCTATCAGATGAGCTTAGGGGAACAAAAGGGCTTAGGAGAAATACTTCCTAGCCAACTCAGATGTCGATGGAGCATGTAGTTCTACCAGTCCTGATGAAGACTCGCACATAGAGTCGAAACTAGTTGACCGTAATAAAAACCCACGCATTGGTAACGCTTGAGCGTGTTGTGATTGAAACCTACCTGGATTTATATGCAACTTTTTATTCAATCGCCCTGCATACCTTTCGGTATCCACACTCACAGCGAAGTACCCCGCCTACTCAACATTGACGTTGGCTCTATCTCGCATGTTAGTTCTACCAGTGTGACATACATATAAATAGTACTATCTCAAATTCTATATACGCTGTACAAAAATGAGTGCATCATAGTCAGTTTGGAAACCACTAATATATGATTGTAGTTTAAAACAAGTATGTTTACAGTGCATGATATATAGAAGCAATTCTAAAACCTAAAGCTATATTTCTTGAGTATGAGGTAATGAGATTATTAGACACAGATATATGAAATCATATCACTAACACAATACATGAGGTAATATATACTTAAGGACCCCTGTCCCATTGGGAAGGAAAAACACTAGAGATTCTACTGTAGTTTTCATACACAGAGTAACCTCCCCTCAGTGCATGTGGTCAATGGGGAAGGGATCAAAACAATCTGTGACATAGAGATGGTTAGCTCAGTCGAGGGCAAAGCGAAACTGCTGCAAATTTTCTCGGTATACAGTAACTTAATTGCATGATCATTGATAAATCTAGTTTACATGAATTCCAGGTTTCTAAAGCCAATTCTTAACTGCATTAGAACCCTAAACACTGAATATTAATGGCACTGCAAGAGATATACACCGGGTAATATTATCTTCTTCTTGGGAAGTATAACTACATATATACATACATTGATCAATCTGAAACACGAATTCAACAAATTCTACTTTCTGTTCATCACTGTAAAATGACTAAATGTCATACTGTATCATCTGATGTAATAAATCCTATTTCCTTTGATCTTAGTGTTCAACAATGTAAAAATGTCTACAAATGTGATTAGGAGACATGGTTAATAAAATTCCGTTTTCTGTTCAACCCTGTAAAATGTCTAAATATATCATTCTAAAATGTATTAAGTAAAATTCCATTTTCTCTTATTTCAGTGTCCAACACTGTAAAAATGTCCCATTCGATCAGTGCCTTTGATTTCTTGACATATATCACTTCAATTCTGTTACAGGAAGTCAGGATTTGCTGATCATGTGGGTCACCAGAGAATTCTTGTCAGGGGTTCCTTTATGTCATGATGATCTCCATATTGCTTTATGGGTCCGTGGGAAGATTTAATCCTTCTCCTGAAAGAAACCAGAATAATCCACATTTAAAAATCTACATCGGCAGAACACAATTGCAACAGGTTGCTAGTATCACCTACTGTTAAACTATGGACTTATATTAATACATAGGGACATGCAGTCAGTTAATATGTGGCCATAACCCTCTTATGTGACACTCTGCCTTCCAAAGATGTACCAGTATAACAAGTTTAATGTTTCAGGTGAAATAATGTCGGATATATACTCCGGTTGATGCCTCAGGCAGGTGGAAGACGTTACCCTGTCCCACGCCCATGTTTCAGTGGATCCAACAAGATCCAGGGATCTGACAAGTCTTAATTAAAATTTCCAGTGACTTAAATTTTCCTCTAGCGAAGAAAACTGAAGTTACAACTTTACCTTTCAGTATTTCAACTAAATTGTAGTTTAGACCATGGAAATCGAAAAGACAGCATAGTTGGTAACAGCATGGCAGAGTTATTTGAGAAAGAAACTGAATATAACACTGAAAGACCTGCCTGAACCACGTGGGTTTTCCCGGGGAACTCCAGTTCCTCCCACATTAAGACCTCCCCCCATGCTAATTCATCAAGGCCAACAAGAGAGATCAATATTAGTTGCAATACTTTGTTTCATGACTGTTGTAAAATATATAAAGTTTACATCTTTAATAGATATTTACTTAGTTTCATCAACGTTGAATGTTATTAACTTGCAGAAACCAAACTGAAGATGATGACCAATCAGAGCATGGTATGCTAATTACTTATGCACAGATTTCTTTTGACTTCAAACTTAGCCTCAGTCGTTATTGTACATTCTTACCAAGTTTAATCAAAACTAAACGATATTTGATCAAGTCATCTTGAGGAAACAAAAGAGTGGACAGACTGACAGATGCTTTCCATATCATAATACGTCCCATCAAATTTGTTGATGGGCGTATAAAAGTTGCCTGTCTAATACAATAATAGATTACAGTATTTGTGTTGTTACCATACCTGTGGTTCTCTCAATCCATTCTGTGAAGTGTCCAGGTACATTTTGGTAGACAGCAGGGTACCCGGAGGTCTGACACCCCGGATATCCATAACTGGTGACACCTACCAGCTCCCACACACCCTCTGGGTTCAGGCATACCAATGGCCCACCAGAATCACCCTGTCAAACAAAAATAACAGTAAGCACCTGTCGTATAGTTAAGCAAGTATTAAAGCATCTACTTCAGTGGATAACAAACTTGCCTTTCACCTAGTTGACCAGGGTTCAATTCCCCTATTGGACGTGAAAAGGTATGGGCCCCCGGGTCACCAGCCAGACCTTGTGGGTTTCTCTGGGTACTCCGGTTTCCTCCCACATTAAGAACCCCCTGTGTGCTATCATCTGGGCCAACAATAGTGATTAATAAAATTCGCAATAACTTGTTTCATAACTGTTGTAAAATAATTTAAGTTTATATTTAAAAAGCATCTACCAATGAAGTTTGAGAATTAGTAAGCAAAGTTGAAGAACTAGGACAATGTAAGCTCAAGTCTATTAATAAGTTGTTCAAGTACATTCTAATCAGTAAGATTTAGAATAGGATTAACTCTTTCACCCCTGAAATTTCATAATGAACTATTCCAAACTTTAAGTAGGAAGAGTTCAAATGTAGCTCCTTGGGCCCTGCATATTCATGAAGCTATTTTCAAGCTTAAGAAAGGATTGTGTGGCTAGTACATCATTATATCGAACATCTGTAAACTAGAACACTGACAGGTCAGTAAGGGTCCCGTCTTGTGGCAATATATCCCCCATAATCATCAAGAAGCAATCTGCCCATATAGCTGAGCTTGACGTTTGACATTTGGACTTCAAAAAGAATCGCAAGGAAGCAAAATATACATTTTACATGTACTATGATGTGAGTCTAATTTTCTTCCACCTCCATATTTGCTCGGCTAACAGAAATGTAAATACTGGTGCAATACTCATTTGTTAGCTTTGATTTGTTTTATTTCACCTTATATACCTCCTCCATCAAGAGCCAGGGTCAAAGTCAGAGATCCACTTTGTCTTTGACCTTTGGACCCAAATGACCTTGACCATTAACCCAGTGACCCTGATCTTTGGTCAGTTGACTTATTCTTTAATTCCGACCAACTCTGCTTCATAATATCATAACAAAATGTTCATCAGTGAAAAATACAAAACTTGACCTTGACCCTTAGGACCCCTTAACCTGGACCTATGGTCAGTTGACTCTGTGTTAAGTTCTGAACAAGTTTGCTACATAATAATACATAATAACATAAAAAAAGGTCATCAGTAAAAAGATACAATAAATGACATTGACATTGACCACGTGACCTTGACCTTAAGTCAGTTGACTCCTTTTTAAATTTGGACCAACTTTGCTTCATAATGTCATAACAAAATGTTCATCAGTGAAAAGATAAAAAAATTGACCTTGACCTTTGACCCAGTGACCTTGCCCTTTGGTCAAATGACTCCTTGTTTAATTCCCACAAACATTGCTTCAAAGTGTCATAATGAAATGTTCACTAGCAAAAAAATACTAAATTTTACCTTGACCTTTGACCGAGTGACCTTGACCTTGAGTCAGTTGACTCTTTGTTAAATTCTGACCAACATTGCTGCATAATGTCATAACAAAATGTTCATCAGGGAAAAGATACAAAATTTAACCTTCACCTTTGACCCAGTGACCTTGACCTTTGGTCAATTGACTCCTTGTTTAATTCTGAGCAACATTGTTTCAAAGTGTCATACCAAAATGTTCACCAGTGAAAAGATACAAAATTTAACCTTGACCTTTGACCCAATGACCTTGACATTTGGTCAGGTTGACTCCTTGTTTAATTCTGACAAACTTTGCTTCATCATGTCATAAAATCCTCATTAGTGAAAAACTACAAAATTTGAACTTGATCCCTAACCTGATGACCTTTAACATTTGGTCAGGTTGACTCCATGTTTAATTCTAATCAACTTTGCTTCATCATGTCTTAACAAAATGTTCATCAGTGAAAAGATGCAAAATTTGTCCTTGACCTTTGAATCTAATGACCTTGACCCAGTTTCATGTACATTGGTCAATAAATACTAAAGTTATCAGCCAGGAACAAAATTTGTGGACAGACAGACAGAGTGATTATTATAGGGCACCCGTATCTCCGATACGGGGCCCTTATAACATAATAAACATAGAAACTAAATGTGAAGGGTGAAATTAAAACTGGACAAAACATTGACTGGGCAAACATTTTCTGGTATTAACCCTTTCACCACAGTAGACCATAATGGACTCAACCATATCAATGCATGGTAGAGTCTACTTAAGTTACACATGGGTGAAAGGGTTAAGACTAAACCTATCAACAATACATTGTAATACTTGCATAGCATGCTGGTTGGTATGGATCCTGGTTGTCGATACAAATGCCTGTCTCTGACCAGCCGTCTGTAAATTCCTTGGCGTAGATTTCACTGCATTCTTCCGGTTCATGGAGTATTCCAACCTTAGTCCCCATTAATTCATCTGGGTAATCTAAAAAGAAAATATCAACTTTTGCAACTAGAACACTGACAGGTCAGTAAGGGCCCAGTCTTGTGGCAACATATCCCCCATAATCATCAAGAAGCAATCTGCCCATATAGCTGAGCTTGACGTTTGACAATTGGACTTCAAAAAGAATTGCAAGGAAGCAAAATATACATTTTACATGTACTATGATGTGAGTCATGTTTCCTTCCACCTCCATATTTGCTCGGCTAACAGAAATGTTAATACCGGTGCAATATTCATTTGTTAGCTTTGATTTGTTTTATTTCACCTTATATACCTCCTCCATCAAGAGCCAGGGTCAAAGTCAGAGATCCACTTTGTCTTTGACCTTTGGACCCAAATGACCTTGACCATTAACCCAGTGACCCTGATCTTTGGTCAGTTGACTTATTCTATAATTCCGACCAATTTTGCTTCATAATACCATAACAAAATGTTCATCAGTGAAAAAATACAAAACTTGACCTTGACCCTTTGGACCCCTTAACCTGGACCTAAGGTCAGTTGACTCTGTGTTAAGTTCTGAACAAGTTTGCTACATAATAACATAAAAAAAGTTCATCAGTGAAAAGATAGTCAGTTGACTCTTTGTTAAATTCTGACCAACATTGCTGCATAATGTCATAGCGAAAATGTTTATCAGGGAGAAGATACAAAATTTGACTGTGACCTTTGACCCAGTGACCTTGACCTTTGGTCAATTGACTCCTTGTTAAATTCTGACCAACATTGCTGCATAATGTCATAACAAAATGTTCATCAGGGAAAAGATTCAAGATTTAACCTTCACCTTTGACCCAGTGACCTTGACCTTTGGTCAATTGACTCCTTGTTTAATTCTGAGCAACATTGCTTCAAAGTGTCATACCAAAATGTTCACCAATGAAAATATGCAAAATTTGACCTTGACCTTTGGGTCCAATGACCTTGACATTTGGTCAGGTTGACTCCTTGTTTAATTCTGATCAACTTTGCTTCATCATGTCATAACAAAATGTTCATCAGTGAAAAGATGCAAAATTTGACCTTGACCTTTGAATCTTATGACCTTGACCTTTAACTTTTACTTTTTTACCTCAATGTGTATTTTTGTGAACTGAACATCTTGACCAAGTTTCTTGTACATCGGTCAATAAATACCAAAGTTATCAGCCAGGAACAAAATTTGTGGACGGACAGACAGACAGAGTGATTACTATAGGGCACCCGTATCTCCGATACGGGGCCCTTATAAATATAAATACTATAAATGATGACTGCTGTTTATCATTAATGTTCTCTTTTAAACTATAGTCAGTAAGTTTTTTCTAACTTTATAAAGAAAACAGGTATTTTTTTATATTTATTAATATTTTAAGGTCAAAATTGAACTATGAGAAGATATTTGATACACAAACTATTTGTAATAAGTTTCATGGTGATTAATTAACTCATTTACCCCTGAGGACACATTTGAACTCTTCCAAATCAAAGTTTGGAATAGTTCATTATGAAACTTCAGGGATGAATGAGTTAAAGTATTCCCTTAAGAGTTATATCAGCAACATCTTTGTGCTTATGACAAAGTAACAATAATGCTGAGTAATCCTTATTATATCCCCTTTTTTCACCCTCTGTAATGACCCTAATGAGGGCAAATTTATTATTACAATNATTGGAATAGGTCACTTGAGCAAAGCTCAGGTGACCTAAAAATCTGGTATAGAGTATTATCTAACTTTTCAAAACTGGACACAGGCTTTGTTACTTAAATAGACTGGACCAGGTTTTGTTACTTAAATAGACTGGACAAGGTTTTGTTAATTAAATAGACTGGACCAGGTTTTGTTACTAAAAAAGACTGGACAAGGTTTTGTTAATTAAATAGACTGGACAAGGTTTTGTTAATTAAATAGATTGGACAAGGTTTTGTTAATCAAATAGACTGGACAAGGTTTTGTTAATTAAATAGACAAGACTTTGTTACCTCGTTACTTAAATAGACTGGACCAGGCTTTGTTACTTAAAAAGACTGGACAAGGTTTTGTTAATCAAATAGACAAGACTTTGTTACCTCGTTACTTAAATAGACTGGACCAGGCTTTGTTACTTAAATAGACTGGACAAGGCTTTGTTACTTGAATAGACTGGACAAGGTTTTGTTAATTAAATAGATAGGACTTTGTAACTTGAATAGACTGGACAAGGTTTTGTTAATTTAATAGACAAGACTTTGTTACCTCGTTACTTAAATAGACTAGACCAGGCTTTGTTACTTAAATAGACTGGACAAGGCTTTGTTACTTAAATAGACTGGACAAGGTTTTGTTAATTAAATAGACAAGACTTTGTTACCTCATTACTTAAATAGACTGGATCAGGCTTTGTTACTTGAATAGACTGGACAAGGTTTTGTTAATTAAATAGACTGGTCCAGGCTTTGTTACTTAAATAGACCGGACAAGGTTTTGTTACTTAAATAGACTGGGTAAGGTTTTGTTAATTAAATAGACAAGACTTTGTTACCTCGTTACTTAAGTAGATTAGACCAGGCTTTGTTACTTAAATAGACTGGGCAAGGTTTTGTTAATTAAATAGACTGGTCCAGGCTTTGTTACTTAAATAGACTGGACCAGGCTTTGTTACTTAAATAGACCGGACAAGGTTTTGTTACTTAAATAGACTGGACCAGGCTTTGTTACATTAGACATTGTTATCTTGATACTTAAATAGACTGGACCAGGCTTTGTTACGTTAGACATTGTTACCTCGTTACTTAAATAGACTGGACCAGTTATTTAATTAGAATAACAAGGTATTGTTCAGCTAAGTAAATCTATGGTCACAACATCAAGACCCTTATTTATAAATGGAACCCATATGGCAGCACACATACAAAGGTTGACAAGTTTGTAAAAAATAAATATGAACTTTAGAAGAAGGCCCGACAAAATTATGTCTACACGCTGTAACAGAAATGATTCTAGGATAACCCAAAGACCCCTACCCCATCCCCATCAACTTTGTTGCGGTAGTTAAAATAAAATGGCCCAATAAACTATGTTTGAAGTAACAAATGTACAAACCTCCTTTTTCATTTTGACCCCATCCAGTGATAAAGCATGTTTCATATTCTCTCACATTCCGTGTTGATGGAGCTAAGCATATTGGGCGTATGTTACTGTTGTACATCACAGAATCATCCAATCTCAGTAGGGCTACGTCAGCATGGATTTGAGAATTTGCGACTAGAGCACCAGGGGCTGCAATAACTTCAGCAACCCGCACCTTCACTCCCTCTTTGTAGAAATTGTTTTGATTAACGGAACCAAAATGTACAGTAAGGGAACTTGTATATTTTCCTCTGTAAGAAAATTGACTCCAAATTAATAGACAATACATTCAAAGAAAAAATTGATGTTCATGTTTGGAAAGGTAAAGATTTACATGGTAGTTAAACTAGAGGAGACTACTCTCTAACTTTTGTTTTGCTGTTCAAGTTAAAAAAGGAAAAGATAAAGAGGAGGAGGAATTAGTCTCCACTTATAATCACTAATGAGCCAATATATATATATCTTTTATTAAGAAAGTTAAAGATACATATAGTAGGTAAACTAAAGGAGGAGGTGGAGTTTATTTATAAAGTTACAGATAAATATGGCAGGTACACTAGAGGAGGAGGTGGTGGAGTTTATTTATAAAGTTACAGATAAATATGGCAGGTAAACTAGAGGAGGAGGTGGTGGAGTTTATTTATAAAGTTACAGATAAATATGGCAGGTAAACTAGAGGAGGAGGTGGTGGAGTTTATTTATAAAGTTACAGATAAATATGGCAGGTAAACTAGAGGAGGAGGAGGTGGAGTTTATTTATAAAGTTACAGATAAATATGGTAGGTACACTAGAGGAGGAGGAGGTGGAGTTTATTTATAAAGTTACAGATAAATATGGTAGGTACACTAGAGGAGGAGGAGGTGGAGTTTATTTATAAAGTTACAGATAAATATGGTAGGTACACTAGAGGAGGAGGAGGTGGAGTTTATTTATAAAGTTACAGATAAATATGGTAGGTACACTAGAGGAGGAGGAGGTGGAGTTTATTTATAAAGTTACAGATAAATATGGTAGGTACACTAGAGGAGGAGGAGGTGGAGTTTATTTATAAAGTTACAGATAAATATGGTAGGTACACTAGAGGAGGAGGAGGTGGAGTTTATTTATAAAGTTACAGATAAATATGGTAGGTACACTAGAGGAGGAGGAGGTGGAGTTTATTTATAAAGTTACAGATAAATATGGTAGGTACACTAGAGGAGGAGGAGGTGGAGTTTATTTATAAAGTTACAGATAAATATGGTAGGTACACTAGAGGAGGAGGAGGTGGAGTTTATTTATAAAGTTACAGATAAATATGGTAGGTACACTAGAGGAGGAGGAGGTGGAGTTTATTTATAAAGTTACAGATAAATATGGTAGGTACACTAGAGGAGGAGGAGGTGGAGTTTATTTATAAAGTTACAGATAAATATGGTAGGTACACTAGAGGAGGAGGAGGTGGAGTTTATTTATAAAGTTACAGATAAATATGGTAGGTACACTAGAGGAGGAGGAGGTGGAGTTTATTTATAAAGTTACAGATAAATATGGCAGGTACACTAGAGGAGGAGGAGGTGGAGTTTATTTATAAAGTTACAGATAAATATGGCAGACATAACAATTATCATATACCTGTCCCCAATCCCCAACGTAACTTACATATTTCCCATTCACCCATTTATAATTTTTAACTGGATCGGCTTACCCAGTATTCAATTTGGTAATATTCAAATGTGACTTTAGGGGTGAATGGGTTAGTTTGTAAGGGCTTTATAATAAAAGCGAAAGACTGATGAAGTTGAAGTTTGATCGACAGATAGACAGATAAAGAAACACATGTAATGATGCTATGTGGCACTACCGTTTCACTGCAGGGCAGGATAATCACAAGTAACAGTTATAGTTTTAAAGGAAGTATCAATCTTTCAACAGAATTCACAGAGAAGGCACAATTATTCCTCTGATACTCACTCAACACAGTGATACGCTGTCACTGCCCACTGGTGACTTAACAGAGACGCTCCACAATTGTGTCTACCGTATATCTGCAATGACGCCATCCAAGGGTGTGCCCCAAGGGGAACAGCATCACCGAAAAATACCAAAGGAGCTGGTACTGGTTTTAGCTCAGGGACACCGCATTCTGTAACAGAACAAAAACATTTCTTACCTTCTCATATCTATACTGCAATTATCTCCATATTTGCAAAATTAATTTACAATCACATTATTTTGCAAAAAAAATTTGGGTGATTTATCAACCCCTGTGAAAGTTTCTTTGGTGATTGTGACTGGAACACTCAATCGTGCGATAAGGCTACTACAAAAAACTCCAATGGGCATTGATTTCACAATACAGTACAAAGTCACTTAATATCATGTCACTTAATATCACTTTTCAGTTATTATCATGTTTTCTTGATGAAACACCTAACGGTGTATTTTTCACTCATCCAAACAATAGATTGACTCCACCAATCTGTAAGTTTAAGGTCCACAGGTCTGTATGACAACCAGTTTAAAGGTTGATATATATATATTTGTGTTAGAACTAAATCACTTTAATGTATTGAAACACATGCGTTTGTTTCATCTTTAAATACTGTGCAAGTATTGAGGTAAATATTCAGTGACTGTTACGTCAGGTCTATCAACTGAAAAGCAAAAAATTAAACCTTAGCAAAGTTTTACCTAATTTATTGTATATCGGCACAGAGCGAATGTGTCAAATATTCAGTACAATTTTCAATGCAGCATGAAACACTTTAAAAGAAGGCCTCACGGCATGAGACACATTTCTCATTATTATAAACTATATATAGTAATTTGAAAAGAGTATCCCTATTTTCCCCACCTCTTTACTACGGCTGCGATATTTATCAGAAAACTTTCAGGTATATCGCAATACACAGGTATATTGTAACAACTGCAGTAATGAAATAAAATATATCGCTGCATTGCAATATTTAAAAAATATTTTTTTTTATATAATTTATATGTTAGGTGTGTTAATTTTGCAAATTGCTACACCTTCAAATTAAGGCGAAAATTCCTGCTATGCAGTAATGCTTTCTGTAACCATGGTTACATAGAAAATGACAGACAAGGAATTAAAAGTTCAGTTATAACTTTAGTTACTTACGTAACGACTGACAAACTATCCTCAATACATTACAGGAGCTGCAACAGAAAGAATGATTGCTAAAGTGACATGTAAACCTATAAATTATAAATGTTTTTGGGGGAATACAGTATTTATTTGATTACCTCAATCACATACATGTTACTACATACTGATACAAGTATCTTAAGTTGTCACTTAAATCTACAACATCAGCGTACACAACAACATACAAGCGTGACAGATGTTAATTACACATAGGATAATGGTCGCTTTCAACATGTAGCTTCGCGTTAGAGGGAATTTCCCTTTAGCTCAGTGGTAGAGCGTTCAACTAGGAAGTCTGGGGTCGCTAGTTTGATCCCTGGTGGAAGCCACTACTATCTTTCCTGTTACACTTTATACATTTAACTGGCAGTGCACAACTCCTGAAGACAAGAGATCCCAGAGGGATCTTGTCGCCCACCTTTGTACCATCTTCATTAGTTCTTTGTCAGTTCGATCTTTTCTCTTCTTTCCTCTAATCTGTTTGATCGAGTCATGTTAACAGTAAATGCACCTTGAGGTAACTTTTGATCTAAACTTAATACTGATGTGTATGAAAGCCAACCTTCAAAGTGAGTTTGTCATTTCACATATTTACTAGTACAGTACTTAATGTGAAAGAAATAGAATCGATCATTGCAATATGAGAAAGATCTGTTTAGTTCTTCTTTTAATCCATTTTGTTTTTATGATCAGTCTCAAAATATAACATACACAACGAGGGATCAAGGGGAACCTACATTTAAAATTTGAGAAAGATCCCTCCCGTACTTCCCGAGAAATAGCGATAACAAACTTTCACTATCAAAATCCAAGATGGCTGCCTGTCGGCCATGTTGTTTATCCGATCAGTCTCTAAAATTGCCCTGCACAGCTAGGACCAAGGGGAACCTACATATAAAATTTAAGAAAGATCCCTCTAGTTCTTCCGGAGAAATAGCGGTAACAAACCTACACTATCAAAATCCAAGATGGCTACCTGTCGGCCATGTTGTTTATCCGATCAATCTCAAAAGTTGCCCTGCACAGCTAAGGACCAAGGGGAACCTACATATAAAATTTGAGAAAGATCCCTCTGGTACTTCTTGAGAAATAGCGATAACAAACTTTCACTATCAAAATCCAAGATGGCTGCCTGTCGGCCATGTTGTTTATCCGATCAGTCTCAAAAGTTGCCCTGCACAGCTAAGGACCAAGGGGAACCTACATATAAAATTGGAGAAAGACCCCTCTGGTACTTCTTGAGAAATAGCGATAACAAACTTTCAATATCAAAATCCAAGATGGCTGCCTGTCGGCCATGTCGTTTATCCGATCAGTCTCAAAAGTTGCCCTGCACAGCTAAGGACCAAGGGGAACCTACATATAAAATTTGAGAAAGATCCCTGTGATACTTGTTTACGGACGGACGACGGACGACGGACAACGGAAGGACGACGGACCACGGACGCAGGGTGATTTGAATAGCCCACCATCAGATGATGGTGGGCTAAAAATACCTTCATGTCAATTTAACCTGTAATATTTTCATGGACATGAATTTGTGGATGAATGATATGATGTACCCTGGCTAGGGAATCAACAAAATTACCCCCGCCAGAATATCAATGACTTAATAGTTCACTACGTATATACTGGCACACTAGATCCAGGATATTGTGAAGGGGGGAGTGGGGAGAGATGTTGGGGTGGGNAGATGTGAGGGTGGGGGTGGGGATGGGGGAAGTCAGGGTCCAGGGTTAAGCCCTGTGGGGAGTATGGGAGTATGGGAGAGCGAATGTAGAAAGATAGCTTTTTCTCTGCAAAAGGGGGACTAACATGACCCCAAAGGACAAAACAAGTTAGGATGGTGACGCCCAACAACATTTGTTCACACCTACCTGTTTGAACTTGAGGTTTGAGGAGTGTAATTTCTGACGACACCTCGTGTGTTGTTTGAATTGGGTACCAAAATCACAGCAGTATTCGAGGTAAAGGTGTGAGAAGAAAAGTCTTTCAAAATTCTGGAATGAAAAGAAGATTTGAAAATCCTATATCTCTGTTCTTTACTTATCTTTAAGTAATTCTTTAGTTTCATGGCAGTTAATTTCTGTGTTATTGATCACCAAACAAAGATATATTGATAACATGAGTTTTTACAGATAGTTCTTACAAAATGTAAATGATAATGTTTGCGAAGTATCCAAAAAAAAGTATTCCATTTATCAAGTAAAGTGTTTTTTTAATGTGTGACTCATTTGAAATCCATGTTTGTGGCACCTCCAAAACATTAGTTTTGATTTATCCTTTTAATCTACATATTTCCCAGCCAAAATAATATATCATTCTACAATGTATTCCGTCTTTGCGTATTGCAGAGTTATCTTCTCTTGGGAGCAGGTATTGATTGTTACGTCATTGGTTTGTGTGAGAAAATTACATCGTTTTCTCAAAAATTGATGACGTTACTCTCACAAACAAAAGACGTAACAATCAATACCTGCTCACAAGAGAAGATAACTCTGCAATATGCAAAGACAGAATAAAGCCTGGAAGAAGATAAAGCTCAATGTCACGTTCATTGGAAGAGACGCTTTCGTGGACAAAATTATTAACTTCTACAGTATTCACCTTTATCTCCTGTTATCACAAAAGACAGAAGAAGAATTTTTGGTAACCTTGTTCAAAGGCGCCATAGACCTAGATAACTTTGATAAAAGTGTGAATGATGAATTTGCCAAAGATAGTGGCTATTTTCTGTGGAAAGCAGCACAGATCAATTTTGATTCCAGTTAATTTACCAATATGATGTAAATTCCAAAATATGGTAAATAAACCATTGCTGCATAGACAATGGTAAGGACATACAAATGTACGTAACACCAGAAAAATTGTCAACAAGTTTATTTCTTAATGGATAATTGAAATAATCATGTTTTGTACATTATATTGTCAAAAGTCAACTTTGCTATGTAAACATATCCTTTTTGTAATATACCACTCTCATTTTTGAGGACTAAAGAATGAAGATGATGATGATGATGATGATACTGATGATGATGGAAGAAAATATAGCTCCAATGTTTATTTTAAAATCTTGCACCAGTATGAATTAGTTTAATCCAAAAAACACGGACATTAGTGACGTAGCATCAAAATACAAAAATACATGTTTTCCTTTTTTTTGATAAAATCAAAATGCTGTCTAAATGTCAAATTAATATAGCGACTTTACTCACCCAACATTGGCTATTGCGCAAAGGTAGGAGGCCAGACTATCTGTCATGCCATCGTAACAGACTTTGTGCCAGCTTCCTTCTCTGTAGATCTCCATGGTATTATCATTGGTATTGTCTTTTACTGAAATAGAAAATAAGGGGTTAGTTCTTTTTCAAGAAAAACCCTCACTGCATCTGTGTTCGTCTATGCATTAAAATCCTTGTCTGACTGAAAATGATGAAGATCCTTTTTATACCCGTTTTTTATGCACCATGTGAATCACTCACTGTAAACGTATTCATTTTAGCCCACCAAAACTTTTAGTTCATTATCTAATTTTAACAGACTAGTGCAATAATGAATTGGTGCAACTACAGAAATAAGCACTGTAAAAAATAAACAGATACTTAAATTGTAGCAACCAAAATTTAACCCTTTCACCCTAGTAGACTCTACCATGCATTGATATGGATGAGTCCATTATGGTCTGCAGGGGTGAAAAGTAAAGGCAACGTCTAAAGAGCAGAATATGCTAAAATAACACTACTGCTCAAATAGGTTTACAGTACTGCATATATATATATGAAGTAAAATATTGATCACAGAAAATAATTTTACCGCAATGATGCTCATCTGAATTGTCACCGCAGTCGTCGTGATCGTCACATCGTAGTATTTCGTCGATACATTTATGGTTATTGCATTCAAAGTGTGTGCTGCTACAGTTACCTGAAATATACATAAACAGTAATGTATTAATGTTTGTCACCAGTAATGACAGTTATTGATCTCAGGACTTCATAGTATTCCATAACTTAATACTTATGTAACAGGAGAAAGAGAAATGCAACGGCCGGACCAGGATATCAAACTGAGATCTCCCAAACTCTAGACGGACGCTCTACCATTTGAGCTACCTGGTCGCAAGTGATGAACCCAGTCCAGTTCTGCTACATTTCTCCCTCCTTTTTTTATAGTCTTCTCCCCTGAAGACACAACTATTTACAACCCAGATTCAGGTATCTTTTTGCTAAGCATTCACTCAGTGCTTGAAACAAGGGTTAACAAGCTTGCCAATTTTATAACAGCAAAAAGACCTGTGAGTCTCCGAACTCTAGGCAGAGACTCTATACCATTAGGACTTCCTGGTTGGCGAGGATTGACCCAGTCCAGTTTCTCTACGCTTATATACAGTGCAATCTTGTTATTCTGCTGTTAAAGGAACTTCGACTTAACTTAACATCCTGATATTTTCAGCGGTTTGGTGGTTTTAGTGCCCCTCAGGTGCATATCTTTAGATATTTAAGTGAGGGGTGTACAAGAACAGGACTAGCTTAGGTCGATCATCAGTGACAAGGTAGCTTAAGTGGTTAGAACATTTGTCTAAAGTTCAGAATGTCCTAGGTTCAAATTCCGGTCTGGAAATGTACTTTTTTCTCCTGTTACAATCAGGTACCTGTGACCAACACTTGGTAATGGCATACCTGAACAACGATTTGGAGATGAAGACTTAAATAAAATAGGGAGGAATGTAGCGGAACTGGACTAGGTCAATTCAGGCAACTTAGGTAGCTTTATTAGCCAGAGCACCCGTCTAGAGTTTGGAAGGTTCCGGGTTTGAATCTCTCGTTCCTGTTACATGGGGTATTGAAACCACCTACACATATTACGTTTTATGAACTCCATAATGATTTTAGTGACAGCTGCGTGTACTCACCACAGAAATGCTCGTCCACAGCACCGGGACAATCGACAAACCCGTTACACCACAAATCGCTATCCACACATGTAACGTTATTCGAGTTTACCGACTGGCCAGGGGCAATGCATGCTCTGGTTCCCGCAAAACATTCTGTAAAATATATATATATATATAAATAATCTACCTACCAGGCACTACTATCACATACAGTACAATACCAGAGTAGCATAGGGTAGAACAATACCGTTCTTAAATCCTTTTGATACATTATTGTATTTAAAAATATAAAAATATATGGATATGTAACAAGAAGGAACTGCATTCATGCTGTATTCCTCAGTAAAGTTAAATTATTTCTAGGGTGGGTGAAAGAAGAAAGTATGTTCTGTTTGACCAACTTCAGCTGCAGATATATATATCTATGACAAATGAACATCAGTCTGCCTGAAGAAGCCCAAGAAGATTATTATTCTAATATTTTCTTTGCAAGAACTTGTTTATTTATTATCTACTATATACATACAGTCATGTACATGTATAAGGGTTGTCAAGCTGGTAGAATTTGGTAACTTATTACTCGAAAAATCTTCCGACCAAGTAAGCGGTTAATTAGTCAATTTAATAAACAATAGCAAATACAGTGTAGGTTTATTTTAACTGGCATGATATTTTACAAACGTATTTCAGGCTGAACGCACTTAAATACAATTGGTTTTTTGTAACCTCAGTAAGTATATTTCATGGACTACAATCAGAATATAGTAAAACAAGATTCAGTCACACTTATCTGTACTGGAAATCCTATGCGTTACTATAGTTTCTATAGTTAAAAACAATTTGTGTGACAAAAGTTTTAGTACATGCCTGCACCTTTTTTAAAGTTTCACTAAGTGTGTAACCTTGAGATTATTTTTACATCTCACCAGTAAAAGTGAGTTCTACCTCGAAAGGTTGGTATTTCACAACTTTGCATTAATTCTCGCTTCTTTTTAAAACCTGTACAGACTTTTTTATGGTTTTGACGGCACAGTATTGATTACTGAGTACAAAAACAGGTTAGTCTGAACTCTGGTTTTATTTAAACAAGAGGCCCAATGGGCCTGCATCGCTCACCTGGTATAAAACTCACACTTGTAACCTTAAAAGTGATCTAAAATAAAGCTACAGGCAAAATATCAGTATTTATGATTAAAATTCGTTCAAAAGACCCTGTTAATTTTTTTAAGAACATTTCACCCCTGTGATTGAAAGTCAAACAAAGTCATTATGTTGAACACATTGTATAGCCTTTCATCTCAGGATGCTACTAACTAAATATCAACATCCTGAGCCTTTTGGTTATTAAGAACAAGTTGTTAAAATATTTTAAACATATTTGCTCCTTGTGACCTTGAATATGATTCAAGGTCATACATTTAAA